CCTCCAGCCTGTCCAGCAGGAAAACTCTGCCCCACTCAGAAGACACGTCAAAGAGAGACTGGCTTCCCACCCGACAGCAGTTTGTGAACACGGTGTTTTGGGAACTAAAAAGAAACTTTTAGTTGTCACTATCGAATAAAGTACTCACAGCAGGGAGGGAAAGTTGACAAGAAAACACTGAGAACTGGTAGATTGCAAGAAGTAGAACTTCTGACGCGATGTTACGCTGACAGCCAACCCATAAACATCTGAAATCAGCAGCCAAGTCCAAGGAAACTGCGCAGTTGATACTCCCCAGGTTTGGTGACAATGACACAGAAATCATCCCAGACACAAGGATCCCCTTTAGTTAGAGCCGAGTAGGGAAATACTATGGAAAATTATAGACCAAATAAAGACCTGAGGAAAACCCCAGCGTATCTCAGCACGGTTAGACAAATCATTCTGTCACAATAAAGAGAGGATGAGCTGCAGTGAAGAGATGCCAGCAATTTTCTAGACCTCTTGAAAATGCCCCACGGAGAGGACAGGGAGAGTAACCAGTGACCCACATGAATATTTGAGGCTATGCAAACTCTGCAACTAAATGTTTTGTTCCCAGATTTTAGAAACGCATCCACATTTCCACCATCTGTTATGCGTCGGGATTTTCTTCTCTATCAGGGTTGATTCACCCATCCAACCTTTTATTTATATTTTATTTATCTATTTATGGTGGCAATGAGAACTACGATATCCAATCAGACCTTAGGTATTCAAATCAGAGACAGAAACCTCTCTCACCCCAGTGAAAAAGCACCTCTCTATATCCTCCGGTATTGGGCATCCTGGACCCCAGTGCTTCAACGCTGCTGGGAAATGAAAGTCAGTCTAAAACCTTTCAAAATCTGTCTGCAGGGGGGACAGCGAGATGCTAATGCTGCGAGCTATTGGGAACCATTTATTAGTATGTGAGAACTCATTATTACGGAGTTGCACTGGATGTTGCATCTCCAACTTGTGATAGAAACACTTACTACTCCCCACTGCTGTGTCTGCCAGCACAGTGAGCAAAACCCGAGGATTCTTCAGTGACTCACTCTGCTTCAGAGTAGATCGAAGACAAGAATGTTCTTTCTGGGCTAAACCATGTTCTTTTCACTGAAATAATCATAGAATCATAGAATTGTCCGGGTTGGAAGGGACCTTTAAGATCATCCAGTCCAACCATCAACCTCACTCTGATAAAACCCATCACTAACCCATGTCTCTAAGCACTAGGGCAACCCGGCTTTTAAATCCCTCCAGGGATGGGGCCTCAACCCCTTCCCTGGGCAGCCCAGTCCAATGCTTCAGAACCCTTTCCCTGGAAACATTTGTCCCAATCTCCAATCTGAACCTCCCCTGGTGCAACTGGAGGCCATTTCCTCTCGTCCCATCTCCTGTTCCATGGGAGAAGAGACCGACCCCCCCTGGCTACACCCTCCTTTCAGGGAGTTGGAGAGAGCCAGAAGGTCTCCCCTCAGCCTCCTTTTCTCCAGGCTCAACACCCCCAGCTCCCTCAGCCTCTCCTCACAAGACTTCTTCTCCAGACCCCTCACCAGCTCCGTTGCCCTTCTCTGGACCCGCTCCAGCCCCTCAATGGCTTTTTTGTGGTGAGGGCCCCAAACTGGACACAGCCCTCAAGGAGGGGAATATATATAATAATATATAGCAGCTGCCACCACATTTTGCCCGCTGAGGTGGAGAAGGGCAAACTGCCTTAAGAGGGGGTGTAAACTGTATTTTAGAATATATTTTCAAATATTCAGGCAAAGAGCTACACTTATTAGCCAGATCAGATAGAATGGCTCATTACTGGCATGGATCAAAAGCAGCTCTTCTGGCTATGAGATTTGTGTACAGCCTGTAGCATGCAGATAAAAATGTGTATCATCAAACTTCTTAGGTCTAGAGAGATGTAACTGTGTCCTTTCAGATATAGGGGGATTTAAAATACTTTTTTTAAGTTTGAAAATGTGCAATATCTTGTATTTTATATGTTCAGCAGGCACATATGTTAACTGAAGGAAAAAGTCTCATTCAATGGAAGCTTGCAGGAAAGGTGTTAAATCTCAGTTTCTCCATAAATGAGAAATATTTTCCAGTCATTATGTCTCTTTCTTAACTTGGCATACGTACAACTCCTCTGTGCTTTGATGTGCTCATTTTGGACTCCGAATGCTGTTTGTACAAAGAGCAAAGCATGAAATAAACCATTAACGGGGGCAGAACTGGAACTTCTAGGCCAGGGGAAAAAAAAAAAAAAAAAAAAAGCAGTGTATTTCTCAATTCTGCCAACATGAACTAAACTTCCCATCTTTGCATTTTGTTATATTTATTCCAAAATCACCACTGTTCGCTTAAGGAAGAGAAAATGTAAAATCATTTTGAGGGTTGCTTTTTTTTTTTGTAGCCCTCTTTCTTAATATAGCTGTGTCTGGATAGGTCTTGCAGAATTACCACCCAGAAAACCACGCCAAGGGGGTAGATTCCCCAGAAATGATAAGCCCCACAGCACCACAAGGCACACAGTTCAAGAAATGTGCAAATCTAACCCAATTGTGGCTGGTTTTCATGACCGACATCAAACGTCAAGCTTTGAAAAGGCTATGAATATTAATTTTCTGTGACCCTGAGACTCTCCAAAAACTGATTCATCCATCCATGTTAACTGATTTGGGAAGAGGAAAACAATCTTCACTTCTTGCATGTTAGAGGGAGGCGGCTCCGTTGGAATCATCCCAACAAGCAAATTTGAGAAACAGAAGTTTTAAACGCTGACTTTGATGAGAACAAAGTTGAAAAAAGACTGAAAACTTCAGAAAACCCCATTCCTCATGAACAAATAACGACGAGTTAGTGCAATGCCCTCGCAGAAGTTACTTTATAAAGACTTTATGAGAGAATCCTACTCTTTTTGAGTTTTAAGAAGCTTGGTCCATCCCCTACCCTAGCTGGCTGCACAGATTTCTGAATACAGCACTCTGGGGTTCTGCATGAGTGGCTGAGATCAGTCAACACAGACAGCATAAAAACATTAGAACAGCTAGATATCTAACAAGCTGATCATGAAACCTATTGGGCTAATTATAAACTGCTGGTCTCAGCCAGTTATTGCCATAACAGGTTCAAGCACTTACTGGATTGCTTATCTTTCCCTTGGGTTCTGCAATCTGGCCCTATTGACACTATTTTATGTACAAACCTCTTCATTCATAGCATTTATTTCCTTCTGCAGGGCAAGGGACTTCATTTCTCTGTCCTAAAAAAATAAAACCAAAAATGCCCAAAGCCCAAATAACAGTTTTCCAAGAAGCCTGTACAGATACATGTGGTTGGAGAAATATTATCCTAAGTGTCTAACTGCTACTGGTTTGTGAGTTAAATGCTAACTGCTGCAGAAAATCCTATGAGGGGTCTTTCTGCTGTTCTATATGCCCAGGATTCCTTTAAAAATCTGCCCCTTCCATGCTGAAATCTCTCAATGAACAGAAGAACAAAAGGAGGGGTTCAAACAAAATATATACCTTTTGCAGGAGAATTTCCCACTTAAGAAAACTGGACCCTTCAGAACAATGGTATTTGTCACAGGTAAGAGTCAGGGCCTGTTTCAAACACTACTGAGATACCACGGCAACACCATTCCTGGAGAAAGAGGCCCGAGTCCAGTTTGCTCACAGTGTGAGCAGAACCAGCTCATTTTTGCACCTGCCTGAGTAGTCCTCTGCCCTGAGACCAAAATGCACCTTCACAAATGGATCCTCCTAACTCAACAGTTAAGCCAAGCAGAGGACACCCTGGTGTTTCTTCTCGAAAACCAGGATTGCAGTGGAAGCTGTAAGAGCTAAGCTGCTCTCTGCCTCCTGCTGTCAGAAGAGAAACAGTCTAATGCAAGGATCATTGTTAGCATAATGCTCCACTGCTGGAAGTGATAACAAAAATAAATAAATAAGAAAATTCAGAGACCACGATAGGTCCCACCAACATCCCTTTTTTTCCACTGCAACCTTAACAGAGGTGACGGTACAACCATCTAGTTGCTCTTGATCTCCCGCCCACTGTAAACCAAAGCAAAGGAGGACCTGCTTACATGAATAGAAGGACATGTGATATTTGCAATAAAAGGGGCCTGAACTGCCTTCCATTTAAAAAAAAAAAAAAAAAAAAGGATCTCTGAGAGGAGCCATTGGTTAGACAAAGAAAAACATGGTAGGAACAAAGCCATGTGGCAGTATTTCTTTGACACAATGAAATCCCACAAGGGATCAAACGGCGCCCAGGGCTGGCAGCCCATGCTTCACTGAACCACATCTGAAACTATCAAAGGGAAAACAACTCCCAAAGATGGACAGATCTGGAGGCAGAGAGAAAAAACGAGGAGATGGCAAGAGGCATTCCGAATTTCTGATAGAGAAACAAGATGGGCTGTTTGTCTGTCTGCACACATGCTTGGTGAGGTGAAGAACCTGCTTGCTCTGCTCCTTGCCGTGCACAAGCAGGGACACTCTGTCAGGGGGGAGAAGGGGAACTGCTTCCACTGGACCTTTTTTAAGGCCTGTAGCAGGTACAGAGCAGCAATGTGGCTCTTGGAGAACACTGTGTAGCTTCCAAACACAATGGTGCTTGATGTACAGAAAGACCACACCTGATACTCTTAGAAAGGGACCAAGGAGAGGAGGCCTGGATTAAGCAGAGCTTGTCTCCCTGTCCTTTTCCCATTCACACAGAAGGACACAAACAAGTCCCAAGTAATGCCAGCAGGACATTTTAAGAGCAGGACCTCATCACAAGTCCTTTTCCAGAGCCTGCTGTTGTATTTACACTTACTCTTTCTTCTCCCAACCTACTTCCCACTTCTTCCCAGAAGCAGCGATGACATTTGTACGTAGTCTAGTCTAAACTGGCAGCTTTTGTGTTTTGCTTTTCTGTTTCTGTATTGCTTTAAAAGGACTGTTCAATTCTGCATAAAATGTCCTTACCATTCCAGGTGATTTTCAACGAAGGCAGACATGGGGCTGATCTGTACAGTGTAAGTGTCGTTGGCTGAATACTCAAACAGCCCATAATAGGGATTGAAGAGCTCCTGAGACAGAAGGAAGAAGAATTCTCGGGAAGGGCCACTGTAGTCCAACCTGGAAAGGAAAAGGTCAAAAAGAGAAAATGAGGCTCATTCCCGTTTGAGTCAATTCCCTGGGTTTTGCCAACATTGGCTGCTGCCTAACACCTACCCCTGTGCAGTCAAGTGTTTCTAACGTGGTGTGGCTCCCCTCCCAAAACTTGATTCTGTGCCCTAAACAAGCCACGATGCTAAAACTTCACCAGCACCCAGGCTGATCTGGGAGGAATCATAACTCAGACACATCCCTTAAGCAGTTTCTTTTCCCTTGTTCCAAAGGCTTAGCAGATCAGGGGTACAATCTCAGCCTTGCCTTAGCTGGCTGGGAGCAGAGGGCATTTTAGTGAGTGGGTTTAAATTGTCTATGAACACTTGGATTTACAGACAAGACAGCCCAGACTGAAGTAGAAATTGCTCTTACTGTCCTAGATATAACCAAAGATACACCCTAGCCCCAAGCCTGGTTTCTTAGCTAGAGGTATCACCTAAAGGTCGGTGCTGAACAAGACCAAGTCCTGACAGAGCTGTGTCTCTTAATTCCTCATTGTTTCATCCAAACTCTTCTAGTTTTCTGATAAGGTGGTACACCTTAAGCTGTGCTTTGCTGTTGCATGATTTTGCTCAGTAGAGAGTCAGCTTTTTTTTTCCTTGGTTTCTTTTTTTTATTTATTTTTTAAAAAAACTCAACTTTTAAATCAAGCTGTTTCCAATTTTCTCAACTTGAAAAACAAAAGCACCAAAACAGCCTCGTGAATACACTAAACCCACTGTGATGGATAAAAACAGATCATCCTCTATCAATGGCAGGTAGGTTTTTCAGTCTGAAATAAATCTACAGGTAGCAATATGAACAAATGATCTGTAGCCATATATCACGTGTGCCAAAAGATTTTGGGAGGTGGGCACTATTCCTTCTACTGAACAAAAGTAAAGTAAGTGGAAAACTCTGCAGCTGGATCAGAACGCTCCGTGTTAGGTTTGAAGTTACAGAAACATAACCACAAGGGGTTGAGTGATTGGTTTGTGCAACTAGAAAGATGACAAAGGGCAGGCTGGCTCATCCCCCTCTGTTTTACATCTGGAGATTCAGTACTTTTCTCTTTGAGCAGCTTTAACTCTAGGATCACGCGGTGAGACTAAAGCCACAACAGCAAAAGGGGATGGTGATAAGCCCACACGAACCACTAGTGCTAACCATGTAACAGAGCTGGTTCAACAGATATTAAAATACTGGGCTAAGCCTGACCATGGCTGGAGTAAAGAACTGCAAACAACACCTGTCTATATTCAGAAACCTCCAAGGAGAGACGAGGTATTTATTGCATTTCTAGGCAACACTTTAACTCATCATAAAGCCTTCAGAGTTCATTTTGAATGTCATTTTAGCTTTGAAACATGTGGGGAGCTGTGCCCATACAGCATCCTGTGGCCGTACAGCCCCAACTCTTCTTTTCAGTAGGGAATTGGTAGCCTGGAGTCCCTCCAGCAGAACCTGTATTAGCATTAAACAGCAGAAACCCTAGGGGAAGGTATCTTCAGATGGAAATGAATCAGTGAAGAATGAATGAATTTGCAAATCAAATTGGCTTATAATTTCTCCTGAGGATACCGTGCCACACACAGCAAAAAGTTATTAGAGATGTGGGGGAAACAACGTGGCTTGGTCCACTGTCAGCGTACTAGAAGGCTATTCCAACACCACCAAGTGAGGTACGCTGCATGTTGATGCTTTACTTGCAAGCCAGAGGCAAAACCAGCTGTGAAAGATGACCTCCCTTAAATAATATTGAATCCGTGGAGTAGAAAAAGGAAGAGTTAAGAAAACCCCTGACGCTGAGGTCATTGAGTGACTCTCTTTGAGACTGGTGGCTGCTGTCTTCCACTGGACTTAACATGTCCCCAGACAAACTCAGCTCAACAGAAGCTTTTCGCTTGACGTGCCTCCTCAGAGCTGATAGTGTCAGCAGTTGGTGGACATCCCAAGAGCTGACTCCGAGCCTCACCGTTCTGGTACATTTCACTGAATTTCACTGAATTTCTAGAGTTGGAAGGGACCATAGAGATCATCTAGTCCAACTCCCCTGCTGAAGCAGGATTGCCTAGAGCTAGAGCATGTTACTCCTTTCAGTGTACTTTCTCTTGAGTAGAAGCACCTCACATATACCAAGGTTGTAACTGGAACTAATTAACAGCTGCAGAGCAGTGTGTTTATTCAAGAGATCAGAGATACAGGTGTTTAATTTTAAGCATATGCTTAAATCCCAGAGAAATCAATGGGCACCGCAGAGAGCAGTGATTTTGGTGTGCTTTGTTCTTTCATTACATTACCTGTCCTTTTCAGTTTTCCAAAGCTCCTCACAATCTCATGAACCACAGCCGCCCCACTCTGAGGATCAATGCCACCAAATACCCAGGAGTCGCGGTGGCCTCCCAAGATGACATATCTGTCTAGAGAAATTAATTATGGAGGTTTACTTAGAAAAAACTTTCCTGCCATAGAAATGTTAATTGGAAGTAATTTCTAATTTTCCATGCAGCTATCAGGCAACAAAGCTTAATAGTTTATAATATACATGATACAAAGTTAAAAGACATTTTAAATCTCCAAAGACATTTTTTTCTGTATTTTAAGCCAGTGCTAAAGAATTTTTCAAACACAATAACTTGATCTCATAAAACTTAAAACCTCTTAAATTCCATGTTACTTCTATTATTAGAAATATTGCAGCTTTCCTCTAAAGATAACAGAATCTTTTCATGTTTTACAGCAGTGTGTTTCATGCTAAAGCTGATCCACTAATTATATTTGTAGAGCATGCCAACTCTCAACATTAAGGTGTGCTGAATGCAGTATTTCTCTGAATATATATATATATGTAGTCAATCATAAAAAGGGTTGTCCAAATCATGACAAAGATGTGATTTATAAGATCAAAGTCAGATTAGTTCTCTGTGCTACCATAATATTTCTGTTTCAGGTAACAGGCAAGCGCTGCAGTTAGAAGTTAAATGATGTTATCATCATCCTAAGGAGGTCTATATATCTGGGTTTTTAGACTGTAAAGTCACACTGGTTACAAGAGGCTGTAAAACAGACAAAACATCAGCAGTGATGGGTATGATGTCTTCAGACAGAATGCGAAGTCCGTTCCTAGGTTAGCAGGGAAGAATATTCACTTAAGAATACTCTTTCAATTTCAAAGTTACTTGCCTGAAGACAAATTTCCCACTTAAGAAAACTGGACCCTTCAGAACAATGGTATTTGTCACAGGTAAGAGTCAGGGCCTGTTTCAAACACTACTGAGATACCACGGCAACACCATTCCTGGAGAAAGAGGCCCGAGTCCAGTTTGCTCACAGTGTGAGCAGAACCAGCTCATTTTTGCACCTGCCTGAGTAGTCCTCTGCCCTGAGACCAAAATGCACCTTCACAAATGGATCCTCCTAACTCAACAGTTAAGCCAAGCAGAGGACACCCTGGTGTTTCTTCTCGAAAACCAGGATTGCAGTGGAAGCTGTAAGAGCTAAGCTGCTCTCTTCCTCCTGCTGTCAGAAGAGAAACGGTCTAATGCAAGGATCATTGTTAGCATAATGCTCCACTGCTGGAAGTGATAACAAAAATAAATAAATAAGAAAATTCAGAGACCACGATAGGTCCCACCAACATCCCTTTTTTTCCACTGCAACCTTAACAGAGGTGACGGTACAACCATCTAGTTGCTCTTGATCTCCTGCCCACTGTAAACCAAAGCAAAGGAGGACCTGCTTACATGAATAGAAGGACATGTGATATTTGCAATAAAAGGGGCCTGAACTGCCTTCCATTTAAAAAAAAAAAAAAAAAAAAGGATCTCTGAGAGGAGCCATTGGTTAGACAAAGAAAAACATGGTAGGAACAAAGCCATGTGGCAGTATTTCTTTGACACAATGAAATCCCACAAGGGATCAAACGGCGCCCAGGGCTGGCAGCCCATGCTTCACTGAACCACATCTGAAACTATCAAAGGGAAAACAACTCCCAAAGATGGACAGATCTGGAGGCAGAGAGAAAAAACGAGGAGATGGCAAGAGGCATTCCGAATTTCTGATAGAGAAACAAGATGGGCTGTTTGTCTGTCTGCACACACGCTTGGTGAGGTGAAGAACCTGCTTGCTCTGCTCCTTGCCGTGCACAAGCAGGGACACTCTGTCAGGGGGGAGAAGGGGAACTGCTTCCACTGGACCTTTTTTAAGGCCTGTAGCAGGTACAGAGCAGCAATGTGGCTCTTGGAGAACACTGTGTAGCTTCCAAACACAATGGTGCTTGATGTACAGAAAGACCACACCTGATACTCTTAGAAAGGGACCAAGGAGAGGAGGCCTGGATTAAGCAGAGCTTGTCTCCCTGTCCTTTTCCCATTCACACAGAAGGACACAAACAAGTCCCAAGTAATGCCAGCAGGACATTTTAAGAGCAGGACCTCATCACAAGTCCTTTTCCAGAGCCTGCTGTTGTATTTACACTTACTCTTTCTTCTCCCAACCTACTTCCCACTTCTTCCCAGAAGCAGCGATGACATTTGTACGTAGTCTAGTCTAAACTGGCAGCTTTTGTGTTTTGCTTTTCTGTTTCTGTATTGCTTTAAAAGGACTGTTCAATTCTGCATAAAATGTCCTTACCATTCCAGGTGATTTTCAACGAAGGCAGACATGGGGCTGATCTGTACAGTGTAAGTGTCGTTGGCTGAATACTCAAACAGCCCATAATAGGGATTGAAGAGCTCCTGAGACAGAAGGAAGAAGAATTCTCGGGAAGGGCCACTGTAGTCCAACCTGGAAAGGAAAAGGTCAAAAAGAGAAAATGAGGCTCATTCCCGTTTGAGTCAATTCCCTGGGTTTTGCCAACATTGGCTGCTGCCTAACACCTACCCCTGTGCAGTCAAGTGTTTCTAACGTGGTGTGTCTCCCCTTTCAAAACTCGATTCTGTGCCCTAAACAAGTTTCTTTTCCCTTGTTCCAAAGGCTTAGCAGATCAGGGGTACAATCTCAGCCTTGCCTTAGCTGGCTGGGAGCAGAGGGCATTTTAGTGAGTGGGTTTAAATTGTCTATGAACACTTGGATTTACAGACAAGACAGCCCAGACTGAAGTAGAAATTACTCTTACTGTCCTAGATATAACCAAAGATACACCCTAGCCCCAAGCCTGGTTTCTTAGCTATAGGTATCACCTAAAGGTCGGTGCTGAACAAGACCAAGTCCTGACAGAGCTGTGTCTCTTAATTCCTCATTGTTTCATCCAAACTCTTCTAGTTTTCTGATAAGGTGGTACACCTTAAGCTGTGCTTTGCTGTTGCATGATTTTGCTCAGTAGAGAGTCAGCTTTTTTTTTCCTTGGTTTCTTTTTTTTATTTATTTTTTAAAAAAACTCAACTTTTAAATCAAGCTGTTTCCAATTTTCTCAACTTGAAAAACAAAAGCACCAAAACAGCCTCGTGAATACACTAAACCCACTGTGATGGATAAAAACAGATCATCCTCTATCAATGGCAGGTAGGTTTTTCAGTCTGAAATAAATCTACAGGTAGCAATATGAACAAATGATCTGTAGCCATATATCACGTGTGCCAAAAGATTTTTGGAGGTGGGCACTATTCCTTCTACTGAACAAAAGTAAAGTAAGTGGAAAACTCTGCAGCTGGATCAGAACGCTCCGTGTTAGGTTTGAAGTTACAGAAACATAACCACAAGGGGTTGAGTGATTGGTTTGTGCAACTAGAAAGATGACAAAGGGCAGGCTGGCTCATCCCCCTCTGTTTTACATCTGGAGATTCAGTACTTTTCTCTTTGAGCAGCTTTAACTCTAGGATCACGCGGTGAGACTAAAGCCACAACAGCAAAAGGGGATGGTGATAAGCCCACACGAACCACTAGTGCTAACCATGTAACAGAGCTGGTTCAACAGATATTAAAATACTGGGCTAAGCCTGACCATGGCTGGAGTAAAGAACTGCAAACAACACCTGTCTATATTCAGAAACCTCCAAGGAGAGACGAGGTATTTATTGCATTTCTAGGCAACACTTTAACTCATCATAAAGCCTTCAGAGTTCATTTTGAATGTCATTTTAGCTTTGAAACATGTGGGGAGCTGTGCCCATACAGCATCCTGTGGCCGTACAGCCCCAACTCTTCTTTTCAGTAGGGAATTGGTAGCCTGGAGTCCCTCCAGCAGAACCTGTATTAGCATTAAACAGCAGAAACCCTAGGGGAAGGTATCTTCAGATGGAAATGAATCAGTGAAGAATGAATGAATTTGCAAATCAAATTGGCTTATAATTTCTCCTGAGGATACCGTGCCACACACAGCAAAAAGTTATTAGAGATGTGGGGGAAACAACGTGACTTGGTCCACTGTCAGCGTACTAGAAGGCTATTCCAACACCACCAAGCGAGGTGCGCTGCATGTTGGTGCTTTACTTGCAAATCCAGCTGTGAAAGATGACCTCCCTTAAATAATATTGAATCCGTGGAGTAGAAAAAGGAAGAGTTAAGAAAACCCCTGACGCTGAGGTCATTGAGTGACTCTCTTTGAGACTGGTGGCTGCTGTCTTCCACTGGACTTAACATGTCCCCAGACAAACTCAGCTCAACAGAAGCTTTTCGCTTGACGTGCCTCCTCAGAGCTGATAGTGTCAGCAGTTGGTGGACATCCCAAGAGCTGACTCCGAGCCTCACCGTTCTGGTACATTTCACTGAATTTCACTGAATTTCTAGAGTTGGAAGGGACCATAGAGATCATCTAGTCCAACTCCCCTGCTGAAGCAGGATTGCCTAGAGCTAGAGCATGTTACTCAGGAGCATCCAGGCGGGTCTTGAAAATCTCCAAGGAAGGGGACTCCACACCCTCCCTGGGCAGCCTCTTCCAGGGCTCTGTCACCCTCACCGTGAAGAAGTTTCTCCTCATATTTGAGTGGAACCTCTTCTGTTCCAACTTGTGCCCGTTGCCCCTCGTCCTCTCGGTGGGAACCACTGAAAAGAGTCTGGCTCCCTCCTCCTTCAACCCTCCCTTGAGATACTTGTAGGCGTTGATAAGGTCTCCCCTCAGCCTTCTCTTCTCCAGACTAAAGAGTCCCAGCTCTCTCAGTCTCTCCTCATAAGGGAGATGCTCCAATCCTTGAATCATCTTTGTAGCCCTACGCTGGACTCTTTCTAGTAGTTCCCTGTCCCTCTTGAACTGGGGAGCCCAGAACTGGACACAGTACTCCAGTTGTGGCCTCACCAGTGCAGAGTAGAGGGGGAGAATGACTTTGAAACTAAAAACTTACCCATGTGGTTGTGTTTGTTTTTTTTTAAAAAAGGCATTTTATACGCAAAGCTATCGGAATATGATTGCCAGCCTTTGTTATATGGAGCACTGCAACACGCACAATGGTCTTTCCATTATAAAAGCATGGGGATTAAGCCTCAATTACAACATAGCTCCTGAGGTGAGCCAGGGTGGTGTTGAAAGGTTCTGTTTGGATTTGGAAACAAAAGGTCAGGGGCTGGCTTTAATCATCCAAGAAGGGCTCGTGGATTTGCAGGGCTGGCAGAAAGTCTCCTCGAGGAAAGCCCTTCTCAAGAAGGCCTCCTATTCCTTTCAGCTTCCGACTGGGTGAATTCAACTGTAAGGACTGAGCAGCCTTCCTGTTTCTCACTTCCACCAGAAACAAGGAGTCCACATATGGATAACAAATGATCATTAGATGGCATGCAAAGACCAAAATTTTTCAAGCGAAACCAGATCCATTTGGAAGAGTTAAGAGTAACAAAGGGGATAAAGGTCTGCTCTCTAATTACAGTCCTGAGAGTGATTCATCCTGCAAACACGGGCCTGTAGTTCAGTTTTTGCCTTCCAGCCAGTCAAAACACCTATGGCAACAAGATGACATTAGATTTAACCACTTAAATTGTCCCTTTGAGACATCGAGCTGGAAGGCGCTATAGGAAAATGAAGCATTATTGCTATTGTTATTTTTAACAATTGTCTGAGCTAATTAAGATGAATCACTTAGAGGTAAAACACAACCAGAGAAACATTACATAACAAGAGAGGCTCAGCCTTAGTCAACTCTGGGTTTTGCAACATAACAGCTACTTCAAAACTGATAGCATTTAGTGGTTCCCTACCCTTCCTCGCCAACAAACGTGACGTAGAGTTTGTTCCGCTGGAGCTCCTTGCGTGAATATGCCATTACCTGGTTGAAGGTGCCTTCCAGCAAGTGGTCACGTCGTATAATTAACCTGCAAAGGGAGGCAGAAATAGAGATCTAATGATTGAGTCTTGCATGAGCCTGGGAGGCCGAAGATAAACAAGAGCTGGTGGAGACACTCGTTTTTAGAGAACTTCATAAACTTGCACCCACTGGTGCACGTGCTGCTTGACCACTATGGGTTTTCAGTGAGTTGCTTCTTTAGGCTTTTCCTAAAAGGTGAATTTCACTCAAAGGTGAATTTATTCACAATGCTGTGATTAAGTTCAAAGTGTTCCTCTACTAAGACTCTATGTCAAAACGTCTATGACAGAGGGGGCTGTGAGTTTCCTGTGTATATGAGGTCACAGATTTCTGGATGTAATCCAGTGACCGTCCATGGAATTACTGCTTCTGTAGCAGGGTAAGCAAAGGGAGTATCAGCCTCTGTTTATACAACACACCTCTCACTCCCCTGCCAACCTCTGAAGTAACTTAACGAATAGTACATTTAAACACCATCTGTGCAAGAAATCCATCTTGTTTGCGGACATTTTAAGACAGACCTTCTAAAATGTATTTTGTGCCTGCCTTCAGCCCACTTAGCAAGACACCAAAGGGATAACCGAGGGCTAGGACTCTCCAGCTCTGTAGGAACATTTTGATGATGACGTTTGCCTGGAATAAATTGCTTGGTTTCATACTTTCTTTTTTTTTTTCCCCACAACAGATGTGATTTGGTAGAAAGCCAGCCTAAAGCATAAATTCAACCAGATGCCCAGGAAATACCTTAGAAACACATAGTCCTTGGGCAAAGCTGGATAACTAGATGGAGCACAAGTAGGTACAGACTCACAAGCCAACTAACAAGACATCTGGAAAGCAAACTCCACAACCAAGCAATAGAGATCCCAAAAATACATGAAGAGAGGCAGAAATCTCTGTAGGTCAAACCCAGGAGGGCTACCAACACAAAGAACTACTGAGAGTTAAACCCACATGTACAGGCTAACTTCTGGTCCTGAGTTACACTCCTCTGTAGATCCAAAGGATCTGGAGTCACTCCATCATTACAATGATGTAGCTGTTAATAATCTCTGGTAGAGGTTTCCCTGAATGGATGATTTTCCTCCTGCCAAATTACAAGCAGGAATACCAACATCACTGTTAAATAGGTAGGGAATGGGAGTCTAAGAGAATAGGAATCTATAAGAAATAAAACCTACACACAAAAGCTTCTTGAAGGTCACTCTTTTGCAGGATATACTAAGATCTTACATACAAAGTGCAATCTCTGCTGTGTTTCCCACTCCCTGTCAGTGTCTTCATTTATGGATAATGACAACAGACAAAGTGACCCCACGGTAGACTATTTGAGTGACTTGGCATAATACTCACTTAATTTTACCCGGACCTTGCCCATACCCTTTGGCTTCAAGTTTTCGATAGAAATTGCGCAGCTTGGCTTCAAAGTCCCTCCTGTATGGAGAAGGTGCTCTTGCACTTGCTCGCTGCAGGCCTGGAGGGAAAATGAACAGCATCCTAAAATGTAAGGGACTTTAAATTTCTCCAAATCACACAGTTGATGTTTCCAGACAGAAGCGGCTAACAAATGTGTTAGGGACTTTCTACAGGCACCATGTGCACTCAGTATTACTTTTCTTCTATCTGGGTTGCAAGTTCCTGTAATTTGGTGATTGCAATGACCTCCGGGGGCTATATATCCTTCACTACAAGAATTGTTAGGTTTGCCTCCTGGGTGCCTTTGCGTTGCCTCAGCCTTTAATTGTGAGTGATCTGAACAGAAACTCAAGCATGGGAAAGGCAGGAGAAACACTGACAACGCATAACTCCCACTCAGGGTCGACGGTATTTAGGTTTTCTTTCCCTTTTTGCACTTTTAAGGGATCCCTCTTCTCTGCATTGTGTAGGAGATCTCCTTACTTGGCAGGATTAAACCTCCAAAGCTCAAAGCGACGCTTCTCACTCCAGCCGAGCACCGCGCCAAGCTGGGAATCCGGTTTCCCCGAGTTAATCTGCCTGTATATTAAACACTTCCAGCTATCAACACAAGCCCCCTTTGTGGCATTGAGAAGGATTCCTGTCAGCAAGAAATGCTGCGTTTTCCTATTATGATTCACAAATAGAGCAGATTTTTAGCAATTTGGGACCTGCTTTGTTTTGAAACCTGCCTTCTCCAAGTAGCTGATTAGTCCTTTTGTATGAACAAGTGCCATGCTCTGCAGGGTCAAAGAATGGATCCATGAAATCCCATTTCCCTATCTCATTACAGAAGACAATAAAAACAAGCCCTTTTTTATGAGAAATCTGGCAGAAAATCCTCCACAGGAAGGAGAGAAAAAAAATAAATAAAACACATTTAGTGGGAGCACAAAGTATTGTGGCTGCCAGGAGGGAAGGACGTTACTAATTGTCTCTGCTGGTAGAACAGAAAAGCATATTTTCATGCAGTGCACAGAGAATCCCTTGCGACACTTCTGTTGGACTTGGGTTTTCTTTTCCCCAGGACGTAAGAGAATGGGTGTTCTCATGGGCTATGAAACCAGTGGCAGAAATAAGCAAGCAGACAATATGTTGCTGGAAATGAGTATTTGCCCTTGTCTTTTCTCAAAAACAGGTAAAGACCAGTGCTGGTTTTTTTTTAACATTCTCCAAAGTCATGTTCTTGCCAAATATTCAGGGTTTTGTCTTGCAGGAGACTTGTTTCTGATCTGTCCTGATGCTAATGTAGAGAAGGGGAGCTGTATTTATAATGGTGTTCCAACTCGTTAATGACAACAGAACATATTGACAATACACTGTCCTCCTATAGGCAAGGGTTCAGCATTTAACAACTTCGCATCAAAAAACCTTTCAATTTTCCACAGCCACCTCCGAGATTTGAACGTCTCTTGCCAATTTATTTGGGTTGAAACCAGGTAATTTAAATAGATGTTTAAAAAGCTCTGCCAAAAACACGGATTTCTTCAGATCACGTTTCTGTCAATCTTCTCAGAATGGCCACTGGACACAGCCCCGCAGCGAGACTGCGGTGGGGGTTGTGTATCTTGGCAAAAGGGAGACATCAGCTCCTCAAATTTCTATAGCATAAACAATAACTACAGAGACATACCACAGCTGGAAAGAACCTCCTCAGACAGCATGTCTTTCTGGAAAATATGTTTCCCGTCAAACCTAAGTTGAATGGGCTCAACACGGGAGGTCAGAGTAGATGATCAAGATCATCCCCCTCCAGGTCTTAAAATAGATGAGTCTTGGGAAGAAGAAAAGTCTTTGGAACAGTGAGTGGAGGAGACTGAACTTTACAGGAGTACTGGAAGTATCACAATACACCTCTGATTTGGAAGCTGCTCTTTGCTCCTGTCACATAACATGAACGTGCTTCCACGTCAGTGAGCTATGTTTGGAGTCCACCATTCTCTTATCCTAATCCAGGCTGACACCTGATCCTGGCTCTGAATCTGCCTCTTTCTATTTATTAGGAAAAATACCACGAATGCAAGATTTTGTATTATTTTCCCCATCCCCTTACCTGGAGAATTTTGGGGCGAGGAACAGGGTGAGCAGCGAGGAGAGAAACTGTAACCAGGATGGAAGGCAGCCTGCAGGGGTATGTAGGACATAATATCCTCTTCAAAAAGGCTGCGTGGAAAAAGTGATAGGGAGAGATTTGGTTCACATTCATCACATGAAGAAAGGTAAATATGCAGTATGGTGCAAGTCTGCCCTGGTCATAAATCTGGGTACATCTCTGAACTCATGGATCCATAAAATCCATAAGTTTCCTAAATCGGGAATGGTCACCAGTAACAAAGAAGAAAAAAAAAAATAAAATTATTAAATCAGAGGTCCCTTCCAACCCCATATGATTCTTAAAATTATTAAATGTTTCATGCTAACACAGCAGCTCAACCTACTGATAGAGAGTAAAGATGTGAGGCCATGTAGTAAACGGGGACAACTTCAACAGTTAGAAGAAGCAAAGATACACACGTCCACCTCCCAGGTTGTTTTTCTTGAGTCACACATTTTCATCCAGCTCAGCTTTCTGACCATTCAGATTCAGCTGATGGAAACAAGTTACAAACTTCTTGCATTAGGCAGTGCTGTGCAGGGTACCAAAACCACCACCATGTCTGTGTAAGACCAATAAACCAAGTCCTTATCTGTGCTGAGCAAAAGTAGCCAGGACCTAAAGACCAAGCTCCCCGGTCCAAATAAAAGATAAAGCCTTATCTACATTATCCAAACAATGCTCGGTGTGCTGTGCACTGAGGTTTCACTAGTGTGACTGCAAAAACTAGCAATTTCCTTTATTATGTACTGAAAGACACAAGTTTTTTCCTCTTTTTTTTTAAAAAAAAAAAAAAAAGAAGAATTTTTCCATTAAAAGCAAACATTTTGACCTGATTCTTATTTATCTGCTACTTGATGGTAATGGCTATATTGATTGAGCTGCCTGGGGATGGAGTTTACTGCACTGCTGGAGGCTGCCTCCCAGGAAGCAGGAGTTGACAGATACACTCTGGGTGAATTATTTTGGGTGACTATCAGTAACAATGAAGCCTATTCTAATTAGACATGACCTGGAAGATTTGAACAAAATCTTTTCAATTACGCTGGGAAAGAGCCCGCCAGTTTCTCTGGTACCCCAAGTAATGACATTAGGCTTTTGATCAAATTGATTACCTCAGCAGAATTACTAAATCTGCATCACAGGACAACTTTTCAAGCCCATGTGTACCCTCTGTCCGAATGTAATGGATCTTCTCCCTGAAACATAAACAATATTATTGAGAAGAAAGGAAAAAAAGAAGGAGAAAACATGCCATTATGAAGGAATGAACGACACATAGAGTTATTATTCCTTGGTATTTTGCCAGTTCCTGTTTCTTTCCTTACAAAAAATGGCAAACATCTTAACAGCTTGATTCCTTTTTTAATCTCACTAACAAACTTGCAAAAAAAAAAGAAAGAGAATCGATCTACATCATTCCCTGCTTTGGCAGGGGGTTGGACTAGATGATCTCCAGAGGTCCCTTCCAACCCCCTACCATTCTGCAATTCTGTGATTCACATTCCTGATCCAAAAGCAAGAGATTTTGTACCGTATTTTAGAAAACAGAGTGATACTTAGTCCTTCCAAGCTCACGTGTAGCACTATAGCTAAGGTCAGACAGACAATTTGTTTCATGCTACAACTAGAATATCACCTTTCGTTAACAGAATTTGACATAATACCACCCCCTTTACCTCTGTCAGTTCTATCTGGCAAATAACACTGTAACAGATACTTGGTATCAGTTGAGCACACAGAGGTCATACAGTCCATGTGTAAAATCATACATTTTTAATAAGGAGTGGGAAACGTAGGATGGGATCCTCTCAGCAGATCAGGACCATGGAAGATACACCCCGATCTCTCAGCGCGTTCCTAAAGCACTGCAGTGTCCAAGAATATTTATTCTACTATCAAGTCAAGGATGTGCTTTTAGTACCTTGCTGCGTGGGGCTGCAGTGCATTGCAGAACCAAGCCCTGCAAAAGATGGACGTTTCTCTCCTAGGAGTTGGCTTAAAACCTGCTGCATGAGCATCAGATGGTAGCTTGGGATCACTGCTGACCTCAGGTATAATCAAAGCAATGACCTGGAGGCAAAGGGCTCAATATCCTGTTACAAATCTCATTACACACTGGCTAAGCTGTCTAGTCTCTATCACTAGTCAATTTTGTTCTCTGGTCAGAAGGAGATAAAAGCATCATCTGTTCTCTGAGAAATGAGAATTCAAATTATAGCTGAGGAAAAAATAAAAATAATAGCCTGGAATAATTTGATGGTGAAGATAAAAAAAAATTCTCAGTTACAGAAGGGTACATCTTGAATACTGGGAGCATTTTTCCTTCTGTCTCCCTCATTTTATTTGAACGTATTCATTCCTCCAGGAAGAAGCCTAATCCTTACACCCAAAGAACTCTTTGTCTGGCTCTCACAGGTAAACAACAAGTCAGTGAGACCATCAGGAGAAACTGCACTGCAGGAACTTGAAGGTCCTTCTCTTACTCTTCCTTCCCCCCTTTACCAGTCCCAGAGACACCTTTTACTGCACAGTACAGACTAAATTCTTGGTCAAACTCTTAGCTGGTGCCCACTGGCGTTGCTGAGAGTGACTAATGCCAGCTTAGGTTCTTGGCCAAAACAATTAATTTAACCTTTGGAATTAGAATAAGTTTAAATTGTACCGGCTTTTGGTTCTGTTTTTTTTCTTTTCAAAGCTAACAGGAAAGGAATGGGCATAAGAAAAAGAAAGATACAATTTAATTACTTTGGAAAGGGCTACCATTAAGTCATAAGTGTGAAAGATTAAAGACAGGAGTACAACCTACTTCATAATGCTCCTATTTCTTTATAAAATCTAGGGTGACTATGTCCATGGCACGGTGTAAATCCAACCGTGAGGTAAAATCCTGGTTCTGCTGAAGTTACTGGGGTTTTGCTGCTGACTTCCATCCAAACACAACTTTAACCCTATCTTCAAGACCAGGCTGGATGGGGCTTTGAAGAACCTGGTCTTGTGGGAGGTGGTTCCAATGCAAGGGGTTGGAACTAGATGATCTTTAAGGTCCCTTCCAACCCAAAGCATTCTATGACTCTATGATTCTGAAAAGCAAATGATAATTGTAGATGAAGACAGATTTTCTGCTGTTCAGTAATATCTAGAGTAGAAATTATATATGTCACTATTTGCCCATAGTTATTTTCCTTCTTCTTGCGTATCTGTGGAAAATAACTTTAGTAACTACATATATTCTGGTGGTCCACACCTACTCTTTAGTGGTGACAGTTCCATATGGGGCCCAAATTCAATTCATCTTTTGTACCACATTTACTAGAATTTTTTTTCCCCCCCTGCAAGGAGTCGTTCCCCTTCCCTAGAGATCTTAAAGAGCCTCCTGGATGCAGTCCTGAATGATGTGCTATGGGCAATCCTGCTTTAGCAGGGGGAGATCTAAGACCCTCCTGGATGCAGTCCTGCGTAATGTGCTCTGGGCAATCCTGCTTTAGCAGGGGAATTGGACTAGATGATCTCTAGAGGTCCTTTCCAACTCTGACAATTCCCTGATTCTGTCAACTTGGTTTCATCAATCTGAAAAAAAGCAGTACCTGAGTGCATGGTTTCTGGCCAAGCTGGGCTGACGCTCCTGCAGCATCTCAAAAATGTTGGGTTGGCGTAAAAATGCAACAATCTTGTCATTGTAAGCTGAAAGAAGAACAAAAAAATAATACAGAGGCTTTATCTACCATTGAGGGGACCTGATCACGTCACTGCGACTGTGCAAAGTCACTGCTAGTGAGGCACAGGACAACATGAAGCGGTGCATATGGTTGATGAGAAGTTCTAAAGAGGAGCTTTGTGAGCTCTGCTTTGAAAAGAAAAGAGAAACTTGGCTTACCCAGAGGTAACGCCTCGTGGTGGTGCTGGTTTCGAATAGCTGTTACGAGACTATTGCCCGGCCTGGCCAACAGAGTAACTCCTCTGTTTCGAGAGACTTCGGAGGCCTATAAAATCAGAAAAAGAGAAAGAATGATCAAAACTGACCATCGGTAGCACATCGGTCAGTAACATCAGTTTCTCATCTTTGCTTCTGTGTCCTTCAGAATGGTCCGTGATGCTGACTGACTGAAGGATAGAAGCATGAAAATTACAGCTGTATACTTCAGCCAACTTAAAAAAGGCAGGTAATTCTGTGCTTCCAAATGGAGGGACACCATTATCCACAGCTATCACACCTCTTTGATGCTGCAGTGAAGGCACCAGAATGCAGAAGGAAATGCAAGTTAACAAAGGTATTGCAATACCAGAAATGGAATCATAGAATGGTTAGAGCTGGAAGGGATCTTAAAAGATCATCAAGTTCCAACCCCCTGCCCTGGGCAGGGACACCTCCCACCAGACCAGGTTGCTCCAAGCCCCATCCAGCCTGGCCTTGAACCCCTCCAGGGATGGGGCAGCCACAGCTTCTCTGGGCAACCTGTCCCAGTGTCTCACCACCCTCACAGCAAAGAATTTAATAGAAGTTGAATTGTATACATTGAAAAAGAACATAATCCACAGAGCTGATAAGAAGAATAGTAAGAAGGAAATTTATCGGTACTACTTAACCAAGGCCCTTAAAGAATGTCACTGTCCACACAGTATCTGGTGAAGGGAATCATGTCAGGAAGGCAGACATTAAAAGGTGGGAAAACACTTAGGTATGAGGATATTAAAAGCCATACACTCCAGTGAATCATTATTTGCTGGATAACTCTTTAGGGACTTGTACAAGCTGGGGGGAACACACCTCTCTCTCCTATGTGTTCCTCCAGAATATGGCCCCGGTGAAGCCAAGAGAGGAGCATTGCTCCAAAACCAGTGGGAGGACAAGAGGAATTAGGAATCCCAGTTGCCATTCTCCCAGGCTAATGGCTGCTCCTTTCTCACAGCACAAATTGTAGCACTTGGCAACCACTTCAGGAAGAAATTGCCCCTACTCCAATATTTTAAATGCTTAGCTCTGCATCCAAGGAAATGGTGCCAACCCAATTTCAGTGGTACGGCCAAATGCCAGGTCTTCCAACTGGATATAAATGAAAACGGAGAAGCTAAGTGTGACTGGCAAATTGCCTTTGGAGCACATAAAGCATAACACGTTTACATGTAACAAGATGCCAGTCAATGCACTCGATACGTGTCAGTACACGGGTTAAACAATGCAAAATCTTAACGATTCCAATTAAACATGCTGTAATTGAAAACACAAAGCTGCCGTGAAAGTGCACGGTGAGTGTTTCGCTCCATCATTCAATTAAGATTTCACTTGTAACCATTTTATATTGGTATGCTTCTGCCAACTACTAGAGGAGTTATTCCAATGTCAAGGAGAACAGTGAAGCCCACAGCATTTAGTGGACTGATGTGCTGACCTTGCTCCAACCCTTCTCACCTTCAACAGGAAGAACTTCCAAGCAGGTCCCATACAATTCACTAAGTCCCTCTGTGCTGTGCTAAATCTTCTGCCTTTGTCTCCTCCTCACACCCCCGTGGGCCAACGGACAATCAAACTTTGGCTGAGCGTCATTTTAGGCAGCTTTTGCCCTGTGAGCCAGGCATCCACCCTGAGGGGCACCATGTGGCCTTTATGGCATTCACTCTATGCCATGGAAGGAGGCAGCTTAGGTGTGAGATGGGGCCACATCCAGTGCCACAGTGGGCATGAAGCCCTTGTGGGAAGAGTGGTTTCTTGGGCAGCACAGTCAAGACCACCTGGGATCAGCTGGGACCTGTGGGACGGTGCTAAGGAATCGTGTTGTGCTTGGTTTCTCTACTTCCAGGGAGCTCTGAAGATCAGTAGAGGACACCCCTCCCCAGCCCCTTGCAGAAAGGGCTTGTGTGTGAGTGTGGGTGGTGGGGGAGCCTGTTTTTAAGGGTGGTCTCTGACTCACGTTTGGCAAAGACGAGTCCTACGTCCTTGTTGCCACATGTAGATTTACTGAATAGAAGGTAGGAAGGGGGAAAGAGAGGTGTAACAGAGGAGTTAAACCCTCATCTCCCACAAAGATTAGCACCAGCTGGTATCTGCCCCTCACCTGGGAACTGCACAGTACCTCTGCCCAGCCTGGGGTGGATCCTCCCCTTGCTCATGTCACCTGATTCATTTATTTAATTTTTTTTATTCCTTTTGGCTAGCTTTCCAGTGCTGCTGAGTTATTCCTCCTGAAGTAAGAATTCTGAAAAGAAATGTGTCTAGAGCCCACAAAGAGAAATCTTCGTTCCCCCCTTCCCTTCTCCCCAGAGCTGGTTTAACAGCTAAAGGCTGTTAAATCTGGATTGTAAGAATCCAGTTCTGTACGCTCCTTAACATAATAAATTGCACACTCTGTGGGGCTGTACTTCTCTTCATCACCATGATTAGACATCACTAGTGCTGCCCTTGGATGATGGTCTTTACACTTCTACATCTCTAAACAATTTTTCTCTGGCAACACAACAGGAAAATTCCCAACCATCTAATTAACTTCCATTTTACTAACGCTCCTCTTTCCAATCTTTTAGCTAATATAGTACAAGGGATTGCTCCAATTCAGTGCTTAATCATAATCGCCTTGTCTACTTTGACTTTCTAATTGAATCATTTAATTTATATTAGCACGGTATTCTCTAATTAAAAAAAAAAAAAAGAGTGACCCCTCTAATGATTTAGTGACCGGGTTTATCTAGTGCAGGGCAACCTGACAGATTTATGTCAGAGTTTAATCGCTTTGCAATTGATCATGGGATGTTGCAGAGTGGAGAGTCCCAACGATCACAGGAGCCTTTCGATGATATAATACCCTTTCCCTGGGTTTTTATATCACTGCTATATTTGAGAGGCTCTCCTGTTGCTTGCTTGTGGCAGTTTGGGTCAGTAAGGAGGTAATACACTGCTATATCCCAGTACCTCCTCTGCTTTTCTTGCTCACCAGGCAGCCTGGCCTCTCCTTTACAGGTGCTGCCTTCTTTCTTAGAATAGATTCATAGAATTGTCTAGGGTGGAAGGGACCTTTCAGATCATTGAGTCCAACCATAAAACATTCCTTTTCTCTTTAAAATCCCTATCCTGTAATAATACATGTTGATTTCCACTGCAGACAGAGTGTCCCTTCGAGGGAAGGGGAAGGGCTTTCGACCTGCTCCGTTGACAGCAACGGCAGAAGGAAACAAAGCACTTAGTGATCTATGTTCTTTGTGTTACTGATGGCTGATACAGCTACTTCAACTTTTCTTTCAAAAATCAGGTAAGAAGAATAGCTTCAACCACCTTTTTCCTGGAGAAGACTGATATCCTTAAAGTAAAGAATCTGTAGCATTTTTGTCAAATTTATATGTAACACCATTTAATATCAAGAATCTACTCAGGTGGACATCACAAGTTTTTACGGAGGTCCTTCATTTAGGAGAATACTTCAACATGAAGAAAAGCACAAATACTACAGATTAATTTATGAAATGGATGCTTTCTTTCTTGGAAGAGGGAAATGGAATATTATTATATGCACAGATTTTTTTTTTGTTTTAAAACACAGCCCACCGTATAGAGATTTAAGGGGAAAATGGGCAGTTTTCATCTCCTCTTGCCCTGTTAATAGTTGGGGTAGGCTTTGACTCCAAGTACCTGGAAGCCACTGCTGAGCAATTGCTATTTCTATTCTCTACTGAGAATGAATTTTATATGTCATAAAGCAAAGAAAACAGCCATATTTGAGAAAGCACATGTTTATCTTCCAATTGCACGAGGGAGTTTTAAAAGTACATCTGAAATACTAAAAATCAATTCCTATTAGTATTGCAAGGCATTCTGTTCAACACCAAAGATTATTAGGCAGGAATCAAGGTTGCATTTTGATGAGCCAAAAGGATTTAGAAGATTCATAGATGTCATGGAAGGGAGGGCAGGAGATCATCTCTTTTATCAACACTACAGCTTATCCACTTGCATTGCCCCTGGCCAGGGAGCTCGGAAACTTGTTGGTGACTAAGATAAAACTAGATTTTGCACTACCTTTTGGGCTGAAAGTATGAAGAAATGGAGACCCAATGCCCATGTGATCACTAGTTCCTATGGCTAATTATTCTCACTGAATTTCAACCCTGCCTGATTTTGGTTGACTCGGTTTAGCTCTTGGAATCAAAACATTATTCTTGTAACACCTCTCCTCTCCTAGATTAAAGAGATCTTTCTATTAATTTTCTAAGAATTCCAGACATCACAATTGATTTCTTGTCTGCTGTTGAGCACTAAGATTACAATTTCTCAGAACCATAAGAACTTCTTTACGGTGACTCAGCTAAGAGCCATCGCTGAGTGTGTGAAGATGGGCTGTTTCTTTTTTCCCCACTTTGCCATCATCTGCCTAGGACTTTTGTCTGCTCTTTCCTCAACTGATCACGCGGTGTCCCTGGGAAGTTCACCCAACTCTGGCAACTCCTTTTGGAGCTCGGGCAGGATGTCAGGTTTGTGCACCGAGGCAGGGGGTAGAGTTTTTTTCTCTCATTACCCTGGCTCTGGGTACAGAAAGGGGTATGTAACTATATGCAATCCTGACTGAAGCACTGTTCTGCTCTCTCCTTCGCTCTCCTCCAGGCTCGTTTGAAATCTGTACATAACATTCAAAAGTGGTGGTTGTCTTTCTTGGTCCTTCATACCATCCTGGTGACAGATTCCAGAGGCCACGCCACCTGCTGAGCACAGAAAGCAGCTGGGCTGCAGACAGCCCACACACGGCCGGGACAAAGCCCCAAGTGTGTCCCTACAGACATTGATTTATAGGGCCAAAAGCACATCCAAATATACTTGCATGAAACGGCACGGAACAGGCGGCTTTTCATAAAGGGGCTGAGTTGTAAAGGGCTGACTCTTCACCGTGTAAATCACAGAATCACAGAATTGTAGTGGGTGGAAGGGACCTCAGAGATCATCGAGTCCAACCACCAAAAAAAAAAACCAAAAAAAAAACCACCCCAGCTCCCACCACCTAAACACACAACAACAACCTCCAAACCAAAAAACCATCACCCACCCACACAGCACCCCACCACAAACCAGTAATCTTGGGCACTAGAGCATGCCCTGAAGAACCATGTCTACACGTTTCTTAAATACCTCCAGGGATGGTGACTCCACCACCTCCCTGGGCAGCCCATTCCAATGCTGGATAACCCTTTCAGTAAAGAAATGTTTCCTAATATCCAGCTTTTGGGCACCGATCCAAAGTCCTTGGAAATCAAGGAGAGTCCTTCCAAGGGAGCAGCAGATTCTTCCAGAGGGGGAAGATACCGAGTACGACAAGGGGGCAGATACATTGTGGGACCTGTGCCATCGAGATTGTGAGATGAAGATGCCAGCACTGATGGCTCCCGAGACAGAAGTCCCTGTTTCATTAACTGATCCTGCCAAATCAGCTGCCTAGATGGAACAGTTTACAATTTCCCCAGAGAATCGTTACTCAGAAGTTTTCAATGCTTTTCAATCTACTTGGTATTTTGGGTTTATTGCAAAATGTTCTTCGCCAGCCTTGCCAGCACTTGCAAAACCAAATGTGTTTTTTGGGCTTGGTCATCTGAGTTGCTCAGCAGTGTTTCTGTCCCTGACCTGGGGAAGTTGTAAGGAAGCATGGGCCCAAATATCATCAGGTGACTTTGATGTTCAGGTCAATAATTCAGACACAATAGAGACACTAAACTGCAGGCTGCTGGCAGAGGGAAGGTGCTAAGTTGGTGGCAAGATATGATTGAAATGGATCCATTGATACAGTTCTATCTTCAGAAAATATATTGCTGTATTCACCCAAGGTAGGGAAAACTTACCCAAGCTGCTTATGTCTGGTCTGCCTTTGGTCCTGAAGTACTGACCTCACACCCTAGTCTGCTCCTGATCCCAGCCCCACTTGGCAGTGGGAGGTGTTCAGACTGGTCCTGCTGCACTAATTTTTTAATGTGAATTTCACAAGCATTTCTTCAGGTGTTTTTCTGGAAGAGGAAGATCCCTTGGCCATAATTCATCTCTACTCCTATTCAGCTTCACTCTAAAAACCTTCAACGGTACGGATTTGCTGTATGAGCAATCTGATTGCTGGTCCTTTTCCCTCCTTAAATCCACTGTACAAACCCAGGATTTATGCTTCTATTAATCCTGCCCACGCCCCTCAATGATAAAAATCATCCCCATGAAACATAGGAAAGATGTTTAATGTGATTGAAAGCTACAGAAGCAAAGCTCAACGCACATTACTACACCTGCTAGGGAACATATCTGTTCAGAGCACAGTGTCACAGTGGGGAATGAAAAAACACACGAGGCTACTGAAGTATCAGGCCATAAAAATAACAAATGACTTGACTTTACTATAGCAAGACTAGGATATCAAATATGGATTCTTCTTTTAAAATATATTTTGTCATCATTTCACTTTGTTTATTATTACTTGTTTATTATTTTATTCTGGAAATGTTCGGATATAAAACCTTCATTAACAGCAAGCTCTAAGATAAACCCTTCAGGAAGAAAATTCCCTTATTTCCTTTGGAAGATAAAAAAATCCTCAAAACAGTCCGTTTAAATGCATTTCCAAGATAAGAAGTGCTTTTAATTCTACAGAATACTGATGTCAGAAATAAGTGTATTGGTAGTAGCAGAGTTACCTCTCCGGCGCTGTAGCTCCGAAGCCGCTGGAGGTGTTGCCTGTGGGTCAGGTGATTAGGGAGACGACCGTTCTGCAGAGGGATCCTGGGGTCTATGAAAGTGGTAGCACGGCTGTTGTGGTCAACGAAGAAAGACTGAAACACACAGGAACAAGGGGTTGTTGTTGGGAGAAGACTGCTAACACTGCAGTGCTATTGTGGGATCCTAAAGTGAAAACCACCGGCCGTTGTGTGTCGGAAATACCCTGTTTAAGTACAGGAAGGTATCTGTGAACAGCAGGACTTTCTCAGCTGAAGACAGAATAGCTCTTGGAAAACACCTGAAGCTACACAGGTCAAAAATCATGTCTAATGGCCATGAAGTAAACAAGACAGAAGAGAATAAACTTACTAGGGAACACTGCTTTACCCTATTGGGTGGTTCCAGAAGCCACTTGGCAAAGCTTCACTGGGGACAGAAACACTAAGCCAAATTTTGCAGTCGTGCCAGTTCTAAACTCTGGCTTAAAATTTTTTGTTAGTCCCACGCTGCCTTGGTTAAGGTGTGATATCCCACAGCAAGCTAGAGGACTGCCAATGTGCTTTGAAACATTTGTTCCTGAAGCTTTTTTCTGCTTCTGAAATAACTCTGCCTGCTGCTTGTGCTGTTTAAACCAAATCTTCACAGATTTGAAGTCAGGAAGGAAGGAACCTTTAGTGATTAAGTAGCCTGATGTGCTGTGTTAAGCAAGTGATTGGTTTTGTTGACACTCTTACCTTGCCCTGCTGGTCTGTTTTGATCTCCCAGCCACGAGGAAGCTCCAGTCGGGTATCCGCAAACATATTGATAAAATTCACCAGGTCTCTGTTGTGCTGGTAGCGCTCAAAGTTACGAGCATCTCTACGGATCTTCAGAATCATATGCTTCAAGCAGGTACTGTTGGTGAAGACTCGGTAGGCACTCTATGGGATGGAAAAGAAACATGAAGAAAACTAGTTCTGGTGTCAAAACAACCTATTTGGTTATTTCATGGGACATACGCCCAAAGAACTGAAACAAAATCCCCTTAGAGTCAAGAACCATTTCCACCTCATCGTTGTAATTTCATTTACCACTTTATACAAACACTTAGAAGTAAGAAATATAATCTGGAAAGGGAAACATCCCCCATGTTATGCACAGTTAGCTTGTGCATAAACCACCTCTCTAATGCACTCCAAGAAGACGGTCAGCTAAAACACCCCACACCCAAGATGAGTGCAGTTGTGCCTATTTTATTGCTTTCATCAGCCACCAGAGACACAACTTGGTGACTGGACGATGCCAGAGAGTTGCAAAGACAGCTGTGAACATGTATTTATACTGCAATTCAAATCAAGATGCTTGTGATAGGACTCATCAACTTAAAAAGACTGCAGTGGAGATGTCCACATCAAAGGTCGCTACCTTATTTAGGGTCACTTTACAGCCAGAGGATGGAAATAGATGCTTTCAATTGTCTACTTTTGGAAGGCATGAATTGTCTCCTGGAATTGAATATTTGCTTCTGCAATGACTACAAAGCAGGTCAGATGGAAACGTTTTCACGGGTCAGATGAATGCCAGCCTTTAGGCAGCTACTTGTATCTCACCCAGGGCATGAAATACATCTTTTAGAGGAACGTGCCCCGATGCTGGTGCGTATCTGAGTGAGTTAGTGCTGATCTGGTTGCAGAATAGGGGGCAAAGTGAACTATATTTGTTGCCACAGTGTATTCCACGATGGACCACCACAAAAAAAGTGGTGACAACACTTTTTCTCATCCACGGGCTGCTCTCGGGACTTTTTTACTTCAGGAAAAAAGCTCCTCAAGACAGGGTAGGAAACTTTACAGAAAACTGTAACCTTTCTGAGCCTTTCACCAAAGAGAAAATGACTGCATTGGTTCTGCTGATCAGCCCAAAGGATTTAATTACTCACTAGAGTAATAAAGGATCACTGGAGTACTCGCATCTCCAGTGAAGTGAGCCTCAGTGTATGCACCTGTAATCTGGCCAGAGAATCTGACCCAACAGCTTTGAATTCTCAATTTCTGCCTACTTTTAATGCATTTTAACCACTATAATGTCATAAAACATTTACAAGTATTATCTTTATTACGTAAGGATTTATTGTGGTGGTAGCACGAGAATACTCCCTGCAGCACAGGGTCCCCAATTATGGCAAAGGTTGGTGAACATTATGAAATCACAGAGATACGATCTCTGCCCTGAAGATATGACCTGGTTATGACCCAGGAAAGCTTCACAGCCACAAATTGCTAAGATCCCAGCCTACTCCATGACAGAAGTTGTATTTTGATCTCATGTGTGATCAATGATTGTCTGAGTATCTCTTAGCTGCACTAGGGAAATGAAAATTGTAATATAGTTTTATCCCTCCATGGAAATACAATATTTGAAAAATGAGAGCCTTTCCCTTTGAATTCTAACTGCTGGATAATATTTTCCAATCCCAGCTTCACTGGCATAATTAATAGCCTGAGATTTTAATAGGGGCTTGTGGTTAAAATATTACCACCGCGTTAAGCCAAAAGTCATGTGGGCCATTATTTCTGTACAAGTGGAATCTGCATGACCATTTGACAGAGGTTTCAGTACATTATTCTGGCTCTCCTAGTAGAGACAACTTTATAAGCTCAAACTGAAGGCCTCTCTCCGCTTTTTTTTTTATTTCAGTGAGAAATAAAATTGGGATTCAGTCTCTCGTGAGCTCTTCCTTACACCACTATGGAACCAGTTGCTCATTTTGCAAATAACTCTGCCCAAATGAAAATGATGTTGCTCCCAGCTATAAATCATTGTGTATCACTCTGTCAATGGAAGAAATCCCGAGCACTCCATAGCCTAGGTTCAGGTAACATCAGATGAGTTAATATATCCCTTCCTCTGCAGGATTTCATGGCTAATCATCTCTGGCAGATGCTTGGAGATGGCCGGCCGGCTTCAACCCGCAACGCGCCAAAACTTGATGTCTGTAGTTAGTTAAAGACCTGTGAGTTTCAATTTCTTTTCCTTTCAAAAAGAAAGGTGATCCCTAACCAGAAATGACCGATTTTCCAAATATTCAGAAGCCATGTGTGGATGCCTAGGCTGAACTGCATTCAAGACACGGAAAACTAGGACTGCATCTGCTTGTGACATTTCCCGATCTGCTTCCTCCTCGTTGACCTACCATTACATTTTCCACTCCACGTGAGGTTTGCAAGAAAACATGCAGATTTATTGCATTATGGAGGGAAAAAAAAAAAAGTTATTTGCATTTTTGAAAATTCATTTCCATTCCTGTTTTTTCCAAAAGAGGTACACTGGGTGTGCAAACTGCAGGAGTTAACAATGGTTTTTTCCCTTCTATTTCCCCGAGACCTGGTGGTATCTGTGTGAGATTTCTCAGGAACGTGGCCCGAAAGGCAACAACCTCACTCCCTGCAGCAACAGAGAACAGAATCAACCAAACTGAAACCAAGGGCTCCTGCTTATTCTGCATAAGGATAATGTTAATGAGCTGCTCTGTACCGTGTGTGAGACAGAATCCCAGCAAGAGTCTCCTTGAAGCAGCCTGTCTGTACTGTCCCCAACCTGGTCTGGTGCTCAGAAAGGACAACTGAGCCCCGAGTCATGCACATCAAATTCACTGCGTGCTCTCCCCGAAGGCTTTGTGGCACAGCATTTGGATTCAGAGATCAGCAGTGTGAGAGAGCAAATCATAATTACTCACATAGTTTGCATGCAGCACAGTGAAGAACTCGGGATTGGTGATGAACTTCACAGCTGGAGACTGCAGCAACAAGGTGATTTTTTGAGAATTCACAGGAGAAAGGGAACCTTCCCTCCTAATCTCTGGACAAAAAAAAAAAGGCAGCAGAATCTTACTACCACAGTGGCAAGCACAGCCTCTTATTGAACCTTTACTGAATGGCTGCAAAAGTGACAGTATAAAAATGTTGCCGTGCTGTCCAATGCACCTACCTTCATTGTGTTTCCACAACCAGCCTGCTGGCAAACTGGTAGATGTTCTCCTTAGGGTTAGTGGTGCAGGGCAGGAGCTGGATGCTTTACGGTACTGTATGTTATAGAACTATGTGTCATATAAAACTACCTCTGTCTCTAAATATCAACCTGAACCACATCAGTTTTTACCAGCTGATGGTTTGGTTCAATACTGTCACCCAGGTCTCCTGACTGGTTCCCCTCACCGCTGATTTTAGAGAGATCTCATTTCCCAGTCCATGCAAAACTTGGTTAAGGAAGCCCCCTACTTAGCCACTCATCCATGCTGGTGCTGCAAAGAATGACATTTTAATTGTAATTGCATTATTTTTGGCAAGTCCGTGGTTTTGGGGACTTGTAAAGAAAACAAAACCAGACACACAGGGATTATTTTTAACCTGTATCAATTCATGAAGCACAGGAGCCGAACTGAGCATTTGAAAATGTAACCCTGTAGAGATGGGAACCCTTTGACCTTCTACAGCCACCAGAAAAATGCTTCCTACCATGAAATTATGGCTTGAGTATGCAATTATGGTGTTTTCAAGTACAAGCCAACTTTTATTTGCAGTCCAAGGAAACTGGATGCAGACGTCATCAACAGAATAAATATAGATTCCCATTTTTTTCTTATTATCACTTTTTTTTTTCCTTTCCTGTTAGACACATCGTATTATTTTATCCACTTAAAACTGCATGCTGCATCCATTGCTGGAGTTAATTTGATTTTTACTGGCCTAGAATCTGGATTAATGTGCCTAAATTGTATTCCTTCTGACATTTATCATTTAAATTAAAAGGCAAATAGCAAATGTATCATACTGCAGCTTTTTCTTATTCTAATGTGGTTTACATCACCCATGAGCTTTTAATTCTTGCCATTTTATACGATATTGACTTTTTCTCCTAAAAGCAAAGTAATTATCTGTAGCAAACCCCATTTCCTAATCACTTAAAATGACATATATCATACTCATTAACTCTTCAGGGTTAAAAGAAAAAAGTGAATGTTACGTAATAAACTGACCTAAATACTTACTGGTAGCAATTCCTGTCAAATTACTATTTTATTATGTAGACTATGATAATAAATGATTATACATATTACAAGAAATGACTACGTTACTTATAATTTAAATACTAATAATACAATGTGTACCTCATTTCCGTTTCAGAGCTAATGGAGAGGACTGTGTTCTCCCTGTAGGGTCAAGTGTGGGTAAAAGCTCCCAGAAATCGCAACACAAAGGACTGTAAGGAAGCTTGGAATATCAAACATTAACTTTCTTGGTAAAAATTGATTTTCAAGCTAAAAACACCTAATGGATCAGGAACATGAGCAGGAAAAATTGTGTATTTTTCTAAACCTGCTTAAAAAAAAAAAAAGAGTTCACTATTTCTCTGCTGAATTCTTCCTATTCAACGGGGAACATTAAGAAAATTCAAGCAGATATTGAACAAAGAGGAAAAATTGTGTATTTTTCTAAACCTCTCTCTGCTGAATTCTTCCTATTCAACAGGGAACATTAAGAAAATTCAAGCAGATATTGTGTTGGTTCTTTCCCTTTGCCAGTGCTATTTACAGAGGGCTGGCAAAAGGCTGGCACCAAGTCAGCATTATTTCCAGCTGCCAACGCAGAGCACAAAGCTGGGTGGAGGTGAGAAGGATCTAAAGGAAGAGAACAGGCCATTCATTTTGGTGCTGCAAGTTCTCAGGCAAAACAGATAATTATTTCTGCGGGTCCACAAGTTGCACAGTGGTCACCAGGCTGATTGCTGGTGTTTCTTACCTGGAACAAACACCTGGGATATGGTTTCACAAATGTTTTAGGAAAACATGAGCATGGCTACCACCAAAAAGAGAACAGCTCTCTGCCCATCCCATGCTGCCCTGGGTGCACATTTTCCTCTTGTGCTTTGTACTGACACTCATTCTTGTCTAGTCATCTAATGAGCCAGACAAAAGAATGAATTTGGCTGTAAATGATATTAAGTGTGAGAAAAGAGGTTATTTTTCAGGCAGATGAGTTCTCTGCTCCGGATGGGGTTCTGTCACTTAAGTTAGCGATGAGCAAAAAGACAGCTGTGTCTCCTTCAGTGGCAGCCCACACTTAGTCAGCTCATAACTATCACAAAACCACAGCTTTAAAAACACCAGCATTTCATACTCAGTGACAGGGTCACTGCAGGTGTGACCACACGGGCAAATGTGCCAGCGTGTGCCATGCCCAGAGAGGCTAAACTGCAATGTCCCAAGATAAAAATCACCCTGCAGCAAAAAGAAGACAGCGCCAGTTGTTTTTGCAACTACTAAGGTGAAGAAAAACCAGATGCCTTTGCCATTTTAATTTCAAATAGCCCTTTATTAAAGTAAAAATGCTTTGTCTGTCTTAGTAGTTGCTAAAAAAGAACGGAGGCCCTTTGTATCTACCTTCGTACCTGTAGCTTCAGGTCTAAAACTTGTAGCTTCAAGTCCCAACCTCTTTCCTTTTAATTTGCTTTTGCAAGCAGGTAGAATAAAGTTCCAGTCTCCCGTGGAAATGCAGATTTCCCCAGAACTGAATGCCACCACTGAATGGCACTGGACGTGCCACTCCATAGCTTTTTTCCCCATACCTGAGCTTGGCTGGGAAGGCTCTGCCTCGGAGTCGTGGCACTGGATGTGCCACTCCAGAGCTTTTTTTCCCCATACCTGAGCTTGGCTGGGAAGGCTCTGCCTCGGAGTCACTGCCTCCTCCGGTGGGGACTCTCTCCACCCTGCTGTTTACTCCAGCATCCTCTTCAGTCCGCTCTGTTGCAATAGTTCGCTGGATATTTTGGTACCTACGTGCATTCAGAGAAAGGAACAACATGCTTTAGTTAACAGAAGAGCTTTCTGGGGCTTTCTACCCTAACAATTGGCACTGCTTTTGAATGATTCCAATACTTCAACATATGACTGTAAGAGCACACCTGACTCTTCTCCTTCAACTCATGCAGCTACTCACACTCGGGCCAACCATTACCATTAAGTTACCATTACAAAAATAAGGCATTTTGCACTAATAGATAGCTACGGAGGGTGCAGAGCAAGGAAGACTCAAATTTAGACAGGTATTTAGGCTACAGGTTGCTATTAGGCTTTGTTTCAAAACAGCTGAAACCTAAAACTCCAGGTGGATCATGGTTCCTCCTTCATTTAGTCTTACAGTAGCATAACCAATGACATTAGGTTCAATCCTGAGATGCACTGAACACCCTTCAGACTTTCTTATTACAATATTGGATGCATAGGTTCAACTGTGAAAAGGTAAAGGCTATTAAGGGTGTTCACAAAATGTTTATTACAATACCACATGTCCAGCATTTGGGATACCTCCATTCCTGTAGGCAATACGGAGTGTAAACCAGTAGGTTGTGTGACCTCAAAGAGCTACAATCTCACTGATATGACAGTCACAGAAAAGTAGAAGAGGATCCAACACATGAGCTGAGTGAACAGCGTGAGGAGGCAAGTGTTCTGGCCATTTTTGGACATCTGTGGGATTGGGCATTTAGTTTGGGTGGCAACTAATTGCAGAACAAGGAAGAGGAAACACTACAGAGGTAACCAAAGGGAGGGCACAAGGAGGGTGACAGAAGAAAATTCCAAATAAAACCCTGCAAATGCCTTAAAAAAACCCATACTGTAATTTCCATACTAACTAATTGCCACATTTGTTGATGTCAATGGGACTGATCAAAGTCTTAGCGATCAGCCCAATTCTAAATACTTAACCAGATGAGGAACAAAGTATATTCCTGATTTTGGGAATAACCTGGAGTGTTTTGAAACAAATTGTAGTTCACTTGTTCACTCACACAGATGGATGAACAAGATGAGAGGTCAAGATTTCTTTGCTTCTACTGGCAAGCTATGAATGTAAGTCATATATTGAATAAGAAAAAAAAAAATTAAATACTGAGAGAGAAAGAAAAGAATAAGAAAACATAAGGAGAAAGAAAAAAGCATGAGGAGAAAGAAAAGGAAAGAAGGAAAATAAGCTCTCTTAATTATTTTAATTAGGTTTTACTCCACCCCAATGTTTTTAATCCTTATTTCTGGATTACATTTCTGTATGTATACAAAAAGGATGGCCTTACTGCCTGCATTTAATCTGATACAGCATTGTTCAGTCTCTCATTTTCCTGACTTACACTTTATTCCAAATTAGAAGTTAGTCGGGAGTTAGTTCCTCAAAGTGACACGGGATCATTAAAGTCAAGTAGTTAGCAATTGGCTTTTTTACATCTCTCAACAGACATCATCTCCCAGTAGCTCACTGCAACCCAATCTTGGGCAGAAGGGCTGGAGATAATTAAGACAAATAATTAAAGTTTTAATAGATTTACGCTAAACTTTCACAGCACTCTGTGTGTCCCCCAGTACTCAAAGTCATTTGAAGCTACATTTAGTGGATATTTTGACAGCTCAATAAACAGCATCTTTAGAAGTTGGGCTTTTTTTAAAAAAAATAAGAGTTCTGTATTTAAGTAACCATCCGTCTTTACAAGGAATTTCTGACAGCAGGATTCCCAACAGCATGAATTTACTCCAGTCTTAAACCCTCTGGTTTAGACCCACATTTTAAATTTTTATTCACTCGACTGCAGGCAATTGAATGAACTTTCCATTCCAGTACTGGAGGAGTTTTACAACACCCACATGCAACAGAACGGGGGGGAAAAAGTTCATATAATCAAGGGATATTAGCACACATATAAAAAAAACCTTGTAGCTTCGATTTAATTAGACGGTAGAAAATCCCTGTTGGCAAACCTGAAAGAGTAACACTAGCTGTATGCCAACAAAAGGTGACACTTTCCTTTTGGGTCTCAATACTATAAAATCATCTTATATAAATACCAGAAAATGCCAAAGTAATTGGAGAAAACATTGAGAGTGCAAAAGTTATGGGAATGCCTCTGGAAATTACAGTCTGCTTTCAAAGTGATTTGTCAAAGAAATGGGGGTTTAGAACTACCAAAATACCCCACCGTGGCTGTCTTAACTGATATGATTTTAATTTCTTATGTTACTTATTACCTTTTAAATTAGTGCAAAGATAAGTGTAGATATACGTATGCTGCAAAGCATCTCAACAAGGACTTTTATCTACTTTGCTAACGAGCAAGTAAATCAGGTACTGCTGTAGAAAATGAGCAGGAGTCTCTAAAATAAGAAGTATGGATGTCTCTGGAGTTTGCCAAACACCTGGATTCCAGTTTTGCATTCCCCGTATCCTCAAGTGGCCAGTCCAGCTAATGGGAAGCTTGGAGCACAGAAGGAAAGCAGGACTAGGCTCAATCACAGCTATGGAGGTTTTTATTTTCAAGTTGAATTTCCAAAGCTTTGTGGTTTTGGCTGGGCTGGAAATACCAAGCTTCCATGTAATATTTTGGTCTTTCCATTCCCTTCCACAAATGAAATCAGGAAGCCGAAAAGTGAGTAGATTGGTTTAAAAAGAAAAAACATCAAGTTTTTTCAAACTGCTAAGTGATTTTGAGTCCAAATTCTGCTTGAGGTTAGAGCAAAAGTTCAGTCTGCTGCTAATTCTATCAGCAAAGTCTATGTTTGCTGTTGCTTCACCTAAAATGATTCTCAGGTGTGTTTGCTGAAGACCATTTCAAATAATGAAGTTTGAAATACAACAAAACAGTATTTCTAAAATGAGTGTTCAAACAAAGCCCAATCCTCCGCAGTGCTGATAATAACCATTTATGAAAAGGGGTTTTCCTCTCAGTCTTGAAATCTGGAGGCATTAAATATCTGAAATTAGCATTAAGACAACAATAATTTTAACAATTATAACAGCCAGGTTGAAAATGCAGAAATGACTTGTCACTGGACAAATGCTCAGAGATTTAATATGAATCTCTTTTACTAGAATCTTAGGAAATGCTCACAAACTTGGGAACAACAGGAGACCTCCGTATTCAACTTCTCAAATCAACAGAGTTCCATGGCAGAGAGCAGAGAATCATCACCTTTTTTCCTCTGTCCCAAGAAGCCATCACGATTCATGTTTATTAAGTTGCAAAATGTTGAGTCTCCAATGGGACTGGGGTAAGGAGGGACGTGCCCCTGCTGAAACCCTATAAGCTTCTCACTTTGTAATTGAATACAGGACTACTGAAAATAGAGATTCACAGAATGCCAGTCCTATTTACTGCCAATTCCCAACCCAAACCAGTGGGAATCAAGTCATAACCAAGAAAGGCAGGCATTATGGAATAATAAAGTTTGAAGCAAGGTGGTCACAAAGACAATGCCTACCCTTCAGTTTCTGCTGAGACAGCTGGTTTAATAATTAACCTGCATTAACGGACAGAATGGCAAGTTTCTATGCAGACTCACACACGCTTCACACCAATTCCTTTCCTGGTTGTGCTGCATTTACATGAGTTCAACCTCAAAAAATAAAAATAAAAATGCTGATGCATATCCAACCACAGAGCCCTCTGCTTTCTGCGGCTGATGAGTTACTTAAGTGGCAGCCAAATAGTCTGAGCTTTGACGTGGCCAAAATCCCTCTTACAGACAAACTCTAAACGGCAGAGAAGTCAGGTAAATCCCTTGAAAGAACCTACACTAAACATTAGCTTCCTGCAGTTTTTTTTAAAAATATTACCATGGTAGCTTGATGCATTCTGAATAAAGCTGTAACGAAAACAAATTCTTGTTTTTTTCAGGTTCTTTCACGTGCATTCTGAATAAAGCTGTAATGAAAACAAATATTCAGCAGGTTCTTTCACCTCCGCAAGACATAACACTTTATGAAATGCCATCCAAACTCATGAATTTTGGTGAAAAAAAGGGGAAATTCTTCAAGAGTGCGTTGATGGTGTCAACTTAAAACGCAAACCAAGCACTTTAATAAGGCTGGTTTGCTCTCCACAACTTACTCCACTTTCATATCGTTGTCATTCAGGGCCCTTCTCTTTACACTCAGTAACACCCAAACTATTCTGCGCTCTGAAAAGAATACTTTGAAGCCCTGCATCCTCCTCTCAGCCACAGCTCCTTCTCTTAGCACAGAAAAAAAAGACCAAAAAAACTTTTGTGACCTTTTGAATGCTATGATTAGAATATAATTTCAGCTTTGCTTGCCTTTTTATAGAAACCGTAGCATTACAGTAAGCAGGTAAAAAAAAAAACCAAAACCTTTTCCGAAATAAAAAGGGAGGATTTCTGACCAACTGTTTATTTTTTCTCTTCCTTCTTAAATTCAGTCCGAAAAGCAAGAGTAAGAAGGAAATGATACACAAGTCTGTGTGTGGACTAGTCAAACAAAGGGAAAAGGTGGAGCATGTTAAGAGATACCTCAGCTGGCTCAGAATGAAGTGACAGATTTACAGGGCCCCACGCAACACTAAGCAGATCTGTCTACGTCTAGAAATGCGTAGAGTCCTATTAGAGCAGTGCTCTGCCCTGGAAAAGGAGACAGACCTTTCAACAGGCTTAATTAGCTGGAGTAGAAATGCCACACTGATATGGCAACGCTGCTTTGGTGACAGCCAGCTCAGAAACCTCTGCAGCGTAGCTCTAGATGCTGACCCATCGATACCACTCAAAGCTAAATAGCAAAAGTCACTCCCATCTTTTGGAAGAACATTCCTTTCTCTTCTAGGAGTCATTTCAAAGGAGTCTTCCAAAAGCATCGTCTTGCTGTTTGAAATGTTTTACGACCCGTTTCGCTCAACATTGCTTCTCATGTGGGCAAGTTTGGGTACTGGAGACATGCAGCAAGCACACCAGCACACTGAAAGATAGCAGCAGCAGGGACAGGACCGTGTACATTGGGTAAGGAGGGAAGATACATCCTCAGGGAGCCAATGTGATGCACTAGGGAAGGAAGTACTGGGCACTGGTGAGGCCCCACCTCGAGGGTTGGGTCCAGTTTTGGGCCCCTCACCACAAAAAAGCCATTGAGGGGCTGAAGAGGGTCCAGAGAAGGGCAACGGAGCTGGTGAGGGGTCTGGAGAAGAAGTCTTGTGAGGAGAGGCTGAGGGAGCTGGGGGTGTTGAGCCTGGAGAAAAGGAGGCTGAGGGGAGACCTTCTGGCTCTCTCCAACTCCCTGAAAGGAGGGTGTAGCCGGGGGGGTCGGTCTCTTCTCCCAAGTCACAGGCGATGGGACAAGAGGAAATGGCCTCCAGTTGTGCCAGGGGAGGTTCACATCCTGGGCTGGTTCAGTAGAAGTGTTGCCAGCAGGTCCAGAGACCTGGGCTGCATCAGTAGAAGTGTTGCCAGCAGGTCCAGAGAGGTGATTCTGCCACTTTACTCTTTGGTGAGACCTCACCTGGAGTGCTGTGTGCAGGTCTGGAAGAAGGACATGGACCTGATGGAGCAGGTCCAGAGGAGGGCCACAAATGATGGGGGGTTGGAGCCCCTCTGCTACGAGGACAGGCTGAGGGAGCTGGGGTTGTTCAACCTGGAGAAGAGGAGGCTCCGGGGAGACCTAATAGAGGCCTTCCAGTACCTGAGGGGGCCTACAAGAAAGCTAGGGAGAGCCTATTTACAAAGGCCTGTAGTGACAGGACGAGGGGTAATGGCTTTAAACTGGAGAAAAGCAGATTTAGATTAGACATTAGGAATAAATTCTTTACTATGAGGGTGGTGGAGCACTGGAACAGGTTGCCCAGGGAGGTGGTTGAGGCCCCATCCCTGGAGATATTCAAGGTGAGGCTCGACGAGGCCCTGGGCAACCTGGTCTAGTTGGGGGTGTCCCTGCTGACTGCGGGGAGGTCGGACTAGATGACCTTTGGAGGTCCCTTCTGACCCAGATGATTCTATAATTCTATGATTCACATTGGAGAGCAGGCACAATGTTTCCATGGAAAGGGTTCTTAAGGCTTGGACTGGGCTGCCCAGGGAAGGGGTTGAGGCCCCATCCCTGGAGGGATTTAAAAGCCGGGTTGACCTAGTGCTTAGAGACATGGGTTAGTGATGGGTTTTATCAGAGTGAGGTTGATGGTTGGACTAGATGATCTGAAAGGTCCCTTCCAACCTGGACAATTCTATGATCCTATCAAGGAAGCCACTGGGGCAGTGTGGGGGAAGGGGAGGGCAGATCTCCAGGTGCCCGTGCTCACCGTCGGTTCAGCTGCTCCATTTGCTGTACGGAGCCAGAGCGGTGGATCCCGTCTGGCGTCGCTGCGGCCGTGGGGCGCTGCCACGTCGTGGTTCTGTTGACATGATCAACGTAGAAGACCCTCCCGTGGCTGTCTATCCGAGCTTCCCAATCTAGGGTTGGAAAAAGAAAAGGAAGGAGTGATGCTGTCAGTGTGATGCCTTCCAGACAACCTAAATGCGGGAGATAGATATACACACACATACATACATATACACAGACAGGATATATACACACGAGAGATACTATATAGATATATATAGTCCACATGCGTGCAATATACATTATGTGTATATATTCAGAGTATACATTCAAATGTGTATATATATTATGTGCTTGTCTCTCTGTATGTATATGCAGCCTATGCATATACATAAACATTTCACACACAGCACATACGTAGCCTATGGAATTCACTACCATAGACTACAAAAAACAAGTGACATAGTGGCTACGTTTTTTAAAGGGCTGGATAATTTTACAATTAGTAACACTAATTGACTGGATTCATTGCAGGTCAAGGCAGCCACATAGAACCAACCCTTAGTATAAAAGGATTGTATCGGAAATAACATGGCAAATCCTATGGTTTGGGGTTTTTTTTTGTTATGTTTCAGAAAAGACATGTTTCATTTCTTTCTTTGTGGCTTCAAAGGATACCATACAGCAGTTAAAGGCTCCCCTGAAAACTGATCACAGCCTGGTTGGATATATCCTTACAGAAATCTCAGTAAACAGATGAGAATCATAACTCTACTGCTCTGGTGAATGCCATCTCGAATGAAAGTTTGCAGCATAATATCGAGCCTTCCATCACTGTTGTTTCCTACTAATATTTAAGTTGTCCCATGATTGAAAACTAAAAGTTATTTGGTATATGATGGCTTGTGGAAAATGGAAATGTTGATAAAAAAAGTGTTTGGAACAGGAGAAATTCAGAAGCGAGTTACTAGCAAAGCCACACATCAAATCGATTGGAATGTATGGACTAGTGATAGAAATTAGACTTGCTAGCTTCATATTTCTACAGGACCCATCAGCTGATGACATACCTACCTAAATATATGCACATACTTTCTACACATGTTTATATACAAACCTCACTCCATTCACACACAAATCCACATATGGTGATTACCTTTGGGGCCAAACACCTCCTATGTAAATATATGCACATACTTTCTACCCGTATTTATATACAAACCTCACTCTCATTCACACACAAATCCACACATGGTGATTACCTTTGGGGCCAAACACCTCCTCTTATTCCCATACTCTCCCTGTGATACCCTCCTCCCTGATGACTCCGTTCCTTCTTCTATGGTTTTCTATGATCAAATTCCAGATCAGCTGGATTTCATAGTTTCCATATTTTATCTGCTGCTCTCTACGAGTAGGGCTGAAGTTGTACCTCTTCCTGCTGTGGCTGGAAACCAGTTCATGACCTGTTCCTGTCCCCTGGAATGTTAGCCCTGGCTAAACTCAGCTGTCCTAGCCAAGTGTAGGCTGTCTTAAGTCTATGGCTGGCTGTCCCTGAGATGTTAATCCCACAAACCTTAGAAGATGGGCAACTGGGAGTCCTTGGAGGAACTTTCTGTAAGTGTCCAAAACAACAAGAGCCATATGGAGAGGCATTTGTTCTTTCAAAGCTGACTGTAAGTACCTTACAGATGCAAAACTCAGTCACACCACAGGTACCCACACAGTGTTCCTCACTGTGAACATCACTATATAAATTGTAAGGAGAGGACTCTCTCTTCCTCCCACACCGGGTAAAGTTTCCCAAGGAGGCTGTAGCTGTTTCAAGGACAGCTTTGTGAAAACAATGCCTGCAACATAAGACAGTGAAAAACAGCACGTCAAGTACAACAGACCCACATGGAAGGCAATCAGAGTGACACATAAGGCAGGAGGATGGCCAGAGCCCTGCTGGCCATGCTGTCACGGCTGGCAGGTGTACCCTCCTTCTGGAGTTATGCATGTTCTGCAACATCCTCAAGGAAATCAGCTTGGCCAGATGAAAGGTGACACGATGTTACCTCAACATCACGAAGATCTTCATTGTCCTTGCTGTTGTGTGGCAAAGGACAGATCCTAGCCCTCACCCCACACTATTGTAATACACGTGAAACAAGAATAATAAGTTTGATGGATAATTAGAAGCCTGTAGGCAATGCTGGAGAGCCATACTCTAGACAGCTTGCAGAAGACACCGACTGGTCATATTGGTCTGAAGCCTGTGGATGGACACTTAGTAAGAATACTACTACCCAAATACCCAGTCAAACAAGGGCTTCTCATAATCCAGCCCTATGCACTACTGGCTCTAGAGGCTATGGTGCAGAGTCTCTCTAATTAAAGGCATAAGCAGCCTAGGCTCCTAAGCATAATACTTCAAAATCTAGGAGCAACGACAGTTGTCCAGAGCTTGGAGGTCACAGTGAAAACATCAGGTTGGGATCATGCAGTCTGAACTGCAACTTCAGGAAGGCTGTCTCTCTTGGATGTATGATACACGGATGGATGAACAGACACGAACGACATCTAGGCTTTATTCATTGCTTTATGGGTAGATACACCTAAAACCATGGGCTGACACCAGCACTGGCACACTAAAATATTAGGAATTGTGTGTCCCGTGGCTTTTGGGAAACCTGTAAGATTACTGCTCCCTGAAACAGCATTTCTAATCAGTTGAATAACTCTTCTTTTTATTTCGGTCATCTGGGAAGACAGTCAGAGGGTGGCAGGTGCCGATACCCTCATCGCACACAGGTGGCCTTTCTGCCTTCCCACAAGACACCACGTAAGTCACACAAGTCCCTGAAGCTGCGTGTGATGCCAGATTTGGGGACAGATGGATGGTTATTGTCCCAGAGAGACGGAGAGGCTGACAGGTGATCTGACAGACAGAACTGCTTCTGAGCTGGGCTGAAGTTCCTTCACGCTACTTCAGGGGCGTCGGTGATCTAGGAAGCAGCCAAACCTCCTCAGGGCCTTTTGTTTTTCAGGCAAAATAAGACTGGGCCTACAACGGAGACTAACCTCCATCTAACCTTCCCAGTAAGAGCACGCTGAGCAGAGACTGGGGACAGGACAGGACAGGACGGGTTCTGTTCTCCAGTGATCCCCCTCCATCAGCCAAGTCATATTTCACAGCAACCTCTGAAACTGCTCTGATTTATACCAGAAGACACAAGTTTTGGTTTTTTTTCTTTCTGGCAGGGCAAAGTAAATACGCTCTCTTTCCCTTTCCAGGCTCAGCCACACCTTCAGCAAAGAGCAGCTCTGAGCTGGGCACAACTATTTTTCTTGGCTTCAGTTCTGTAGGATTCCCAGCAAACACACACATAATAAGGGGTGACTATTAATGCTGTCATGAGGCCATACAAAGTCTGCAAATCTTCTGTCCATCTCATACAGGCCTTAACATTCAGACCGGTCGTTATGCCATAATGAATCTGTTCTACCTTACTTTCCTAAATAAAACTGTCTGAAATGAAATTTCTTCCCTGAGACCAGCTGTTGTGGGGTTATGATGAAACAAAGGTATTCAGAAAATCTTTCAAAAGACCAAGACGACTGTCCAGAAAACTCCCTGTGACTGAAGTAAAACTATTCAAGGCTGAACTCACAGCATTTGCAAGTTATTCTCAACTCCACTTATGGATGGAAGCTAATGCTGCATGTGAGAAGTAAGCCAGGTCTGAGCATATAACTCAGGTTTAAAATATAAAGTTTCTTCCTCTCACATCATTGAAAACTATTTATCTAGAATTATGAGGCATCAAAGGCCTCATAATAACTCATAATAAGTATCACTGAGATAGTGATACTGAACGCTTGAAGAAGAAACATTTCTACATCAGCTTTCAGTTTGAAACTACCTTAAAATTTCACAAGAGAGTTTTTGGAAATAGGCTTCCTAGGTGTTACTAACCAATTCAACCTTTTTTCCCCCAAAAAATTAACTTAGTACACTCGATTCCCATTAAGATCAATATATTTAAGCCCACAGTGTCAGCCTTTATTGTAAAAATGATGTTATATGCAAATGCTAAAATAAAACCCTGCAAAGGGATATCACTTCTGCAGTGTACCATGACACAGGGAGTTTCATGTCCTTAAACCCTTTTGTGAAAGCACTTGGGAAAACCAATGGTAGAAATATTTGCCTTTTGAGGATAAGAAAGAAGACAAATGTATTGACTAGGTGATGGAAGAATAGGGAACAGGCTCACAGTGTGTTTTGTTTACCTGAGCTGGTGTCGGTGTCCTATCATTAAGTGATCTAATGGGGAATGTGCTCTGCTCACCAAGTGTTGAGGGAAGAGTGGGAGGAAGAGAAATATTTGCCTGTTACAGAGGTAACCGTTCCCATTTCATCATTCACTGGCAAGCCACAGTGGGACTCGAATAAGGCTTCACTGGGCTAAAGGCATTTGAATCATTCATGCTACTGTGCAGCTGACGCCACCATCGGGGTTATTTTGGGCTTAGGGAATACCCACAGCATGGTTGGTAAATGAGGAATGATTTGTCAAGGGCACCGTAGGCCAAATAAGTGTGTTCCCTACTTGGGCTTTGTGAAAAAAAAATAAAAAAAAAGAGTGTTTTGTTTATGTGCCTGGCTGTTTTTCTGAGGCCCCACACATTTTAGGTGTGGAGCAGCACGTCGCAGGGCACAGAGTGCGCTCTGCTGGGCGCCTAACGCCAATGCAAAACCCAGGGTAATCCTCCAGGAATACACACGGGAAAGGCTGCAGAGACACGTGGTGAAAACACCTCCAGCCCTTGATTCCGTGGTAAATATCCCCTATTATCAGCCTGCTAATCAATCACACTACTTAGGACCCTCTCGTTTTCATCCAACACAACCGCAGGCGCCTGCACAGTCCACAATGAACATAAAATCCAGTGATTATCAAATCCAACGACAGCACAACAAGACGACTCTAAATAAGCTGCCTTTTTCCAGCTTCTGCTGGTTTTGCTCAGATTCGGACCTGCCCGTCCCAGGAGCATCCTGACTGTGAAAGGGTTCCTGCCCGACCTGCAAGCAGAGCTGACAGACCACAGGGATTGCCACCCCAAATCATCTTTGAAGTTGGTAATGGAAAACCTGGAGACCAACGGTGTAGAAAAATCAGAGTACTTTCCTGATCCATCACCCAGGAAGCTTTATAGCAAGGTTTCTGGCACGCCTGTCAGATACCCACTCATCCCAGTCCAAACGAGTGGAAACAGGGAAGTATTATTTTCATTTCATGGCAACTAAGGAAGAAGAGGGACCAAGGCAGAGGGAGGTTATGGAGCTTGTCCAAAACAACATGACAACACTTGAAGTCAGGATCAAATAAGGGAAACAAAAGGGCGTATCGCTTGGGTTCTGGGGAACGTATATACAGAACAGAGGGGGTTATTTAGAAAGACATACTGACCTCTACACTGTTTGAGTTAACAGGAAAAGCTGAAAAATGCAACAAGTTAAAAAACTAAAGCTTACTTGGTGGAAGAGGCTCATCGATAGTTGGGTAGTGATGATGGTCAGGCCTCAGAGAAGGAAGCTGGCTGACTGGCTGAGAATTATGGAGTAAAGGACAATCACCTACGGACGAGATATTCAAGACATTGACAGTCATTCACTGTTTTCACAATGTGGTTAAAAAAATGTGCTTCTGTAAAACAAGTGATTATTTTTTTAACACGTTAGTCTGGTGTACTAGCAGCTCTGGTTATTCCTACTCGCAGGCACTCTTTTAATAACAACTCATATGCCAAAGAATTGTTAAAATAATGCAGTCAAGGCTCTGACCTCGGGTTCGAGTCAACACTAAACTATTATGGGCCAGATTCTGGACTCATAGACACACAAGTGTAAGCGAGAGAAGAATCAGGCTTGATCTCTGAGAAATACTGTGCATGTACAACCAAACTCAAGCTTCTGCAGAAATTGGCAGGAACGTGCAAAATCCCGGTTCCAACTTTCAATTCATCCCATCCATGGAATACGAGGCTGAAAGCTGCCTTGAGTCTTTCTCTGCTTTTCCAAAAGATCAATGGCTGTATAAGTGGACAGGAATAGCAGGATTTTGCAGTCCCTGCAAAGCAGAAGAACCATCCCCTTCTATAGGTATTTTTCAAAATTCAAAGAGTCCATCTTGGGTGGAAGGAGGGAAAATGAGAGAAGGACCAGAAACAGGTAGAGACAGGTGGAAGAAGAGGAGGACAAAAGATAGTGAGACATAGTCAGGATCCGAGATAAAGAAGAAAGACCTGAGGTACAGAAGAGGGAAAGTAGAAGGAGAGACACACAGCAGACAGCGCAGAGGAAGTTTTTAAATGCTAACATTGCATATATGTCTATATATCCAAATACGAAATAAATGAAACTAAGCAAATGTCCAAACTCCTGTTCTCTTGAAAGGAACAAGTAACTTAAGATCCAGTCAATGTTTATAGAATCCTTTAAGAAACTAAGAAGTTATAGTGTAGGGATGAAAAAGCATTCCTTCTCTTGGACGTAACTGTGAGAATAAGGAACCCGCACGTTAAAACTTCACAGATTCCAGAATTAAGATTCCTTCTTGCTCTGTCCTTAAAACCTTAGAAACCAGGACAACTTATCCTACTAATGGAGACATTTTCATATTGTATGGTAACAGTTTTTCACTACCCAGGTGGGCCTGTTAACAATCTGAATTGCATAAATGTAACATTTACACGCATCAGAAAGATGCAGCTTTTGGCAAAAATATACTTAGTATTTCAAACATCACCAGAAAATTACACAAAGATACTTCAAAATGAAAAATCAGACCATTCAGCTAAGCCAACTCACTCTGTGCTGGCTGTTTTACCTGTCTTCAACGTCACCAGAAAATTACACAAAGATATTTAAAAATGAAAAATCAGACCATCCAGCTCAGCCAAGCTCACTCTGTGCTGGCTGTTTTACCTGTCTTTAATACCAGAATCTTAATAGCCTGAGTATTTTGTAAAAAAACCAAGCATGTAACTATCAAATGTAAAAAAAAGACATTAGCCAAAAAAGTATGTTTTTGCTTTAAACAGTCAACAGCTAGAAGGCAGAAGCCAATTTTGTATAAAGCCGTAAAAAAAAAAAAAAAACCCACACCATCCAGAAGGGAGAAAAATCGCTTAGAAAAAAAATCCTCCCTATTCTAGGTGCTCTGATGATACCGTATGGCCCGTTAAATATCTTCATTAGAGCCCTCGTGTACAGGCGTAGCTCACGGCTGCATCTCCGGCTTGTTTTGAACAGACAGCAGAGTTACACAAGTCATTACTCAGTGCTAAAAAGGCCCATCTCTCACAGCCTTAGAAGCTGTGCTACAGGTGGTGTAGCACCGACCACCAGATCATCCATCTTTTAATTTTCCTTTTTTTTTTTTTTCTTTACTTACCTCACCATAATTGACTTGCCCCTAGTCAAGAGAGTTACGCCAAGCCAGCGGAAGCCCGGTAGCACCAGTCACCCGGAGTGGCTGGAGGTGACCACATCTACTTGTGTTTTTAAGAGCTGCCAAGTCATGAAGAAACCCCCAGGCACCCCCGGTGGCATCAGAAGGGCGCTAAGAGCCGGGCTGCCCTTCAGACATACCCTCTCTCCACTACCCTTGAGCAGTGTGTGCTCAAGGGGCACGGTGTTGGAGCTGTATGAACCCATACGCAGAAGAATCCCTCTCCCCCCACACTCCCCACTCCAAAACAACCATCAAATCTTTAAACGTGGTCTCTCTCACACACACCCCCCCATAGATATACTCGCACGTGAATGTTGTCCACACACAAAGACCCTCGCCAGCAAAGAAGGAAACTGGGGGTTTCTATACTTCTAAGCACCTCTGAGGATTTAATTCTTTGGGGCAGATTCTGCTCCGCCGAGCGAACAGTTGCCTGCACCCAGCTGCCTACTAAGTCTTTACACAGTCCAGCAGGTAGGGCCACCCTCACACCTCTCTTTCTGCTGGAGCAAGGTCTGTGCCAGTGGAAGGTGAGGGTAAATAAATTGGGAATGGAGAAGGAAAAGATAGCAGGATGCTTTGGTTGGGGTTTCCCAGTGATCCCCAAACATTATCCTTTTGGTGCCTTTTTAATTTGGTGTCACTTAGAGAGGGAGAGGGATGACCCAGGATTTGGGAATGCAATAGCTACCTATTGACCTTGCTGCATACTCCTTAGCTGCTGCTGGGGCCTTGACTTCTTTAGCTGGAGAAAAATGACACTAAGCTTAAGAAAAGATGAGTGATCAAACCCGCCCTTCACCTAACTCCATATGACATAAAATAAGTTACCAAAGGGAAGAATTTAATGTAATGGTTTGGAGGGATAGGGAAAAAAGCGTACCTAAATTACAAAGACCAAAAAAAAAAGTTCTTTCTTAAGTATGTTTTATCTCTAGAATAGGATAAAGAGATGAGAATTACGTTCAATAAATTTTCAAAGCACCTAAGGAAAAAAAAAAAAAATCTCTGTTGAGTTGCCCTATGGTCTTGTGAAATCTGAGGTACGTTTGTTTGATACCTGGGGAATTGGAACAAACAGGGCTAGGAAACTGGGTTCTCCACGCTTATGAACTGTGCGTGGCTACCACTCACAGAGGGACACTGGCCCAGATCTTTAGCTGGCGTAAATCAGCATATCTGCCCCTTGACAAGCACAAGCTCTGGGTGACTATCAGAGACATGGCAGCACATCGGATAGGTGAAATGGAACAATCCCAGGAAATAAAGAATGAGTTGGTGGATGTGATAATGCTCATCTGCCACAGAACTACAGGAGCTAATCTCGATTTTATAATGATGCACTCTCCTGGTTTTAGTGGCCAGCCCAGCCCAAACCAGGACGTGCATATATATCTACAGGAATCCATATATACAGATCCCCATCTGATTTCTCTGGTTTTGCTGGGATTTTTATGGACAGGCTCAATTATCCAACCCTCCGTGATACCTGGCCCAGCTCACAGCCCCCAGATTGGCAAGAAATAAACCGTGAGCTATCTGAAACCTCGATTATCTGATGCCTTCTGCGACATCGAGATAATCGGGGTTGCTCAGCGCATCGATTCTCAGGATCTAACCTTCTCTTCTGCTGCTTGGACCTGCTATTGGGGTGTCTAGATAAAAATCTCACACCATCCAGAAGTGAGAAAAATCACTTAGAAAAAAAATCCTCCCTATTCTAGGTGCTCTGATGATACCGTATGGCCCGTTAAATATCTTCATTAGAGCCCTCGTGTACAGGCGTAGCTCACGGCTGCATCTCCGGCTTGTTTTGAACAGACAGCAGAGTTACACAAGTCATTACTCAGTGCTGAAAAAGCCCATCTCTCACAGCCTTAAAAGCTGTGCTACAGGTGGTGTAGCACCGACCACCAGATCATCCATCTTTTAATTTTCCTTTTTTTTTTTTTTCTTTACTTACCTCACCATAATTGACTTGCCCCTAGTCAAGAGAGTTACGCCAAGCCAGCGGAAGCCCGGTAGCACCAGTCACCCGGAGTGGCTGGAGGTGACCACATCTACTTGTGTTTTTAAGAGCTGCCAAGTCATGAAGAAACCCCCAGGCACCCCCGGTGGCATCAGAAGGGCGCTAAGAGCCGGGCTGCCCTTCAGACATACCCTCTCTCCACTACCCTTGAGCAGTGTGTGCTCAAGGGGCACGGTGTTGGAGCTGTATGAACCCATACGCAGAAGAATCCCTCTCCCCCCACACTCCCCACTCCAAAACAACCATCAAATCTTTAAACGTGGTCTCTCTCACACACACCCCCCCATAGATATACTCGCACGTGAATGTTGTCCACACACAAAGACCCTCGCCAGCAAAGAAGGAGACTGGGGGTTTCTATACTTCTAAGCACCTCTGAGGATTTAATTCTTTGGGGCAGATTCTGCTCCGCCGAGCGAACAGTTGCCTGCACCCAGCTGCCTACTAAGTCTTTACACAGTCCAGCAGGTAGGGCCACCCTCACACCTCTCTTTCTGCTGGAGCAAGGTCTGTGCCAGTGGAAGGTGAGGGTAAATAAATTGGGAATGGAGAAGGAAAAGATAGCAGGATGCTTTGGTTGGGGTTTCCCAGTGATCCCCAAACATTATCCTTTTGGTGCCTTTTTAATTTGGTGTCACTTAGAGAGGGAGAGGGATGACCCAGGATTTGGGAATGCAATAGCTACCTATTGACCTTGCTGCATACTCCTTAGCTGCTGCTGGGGCCTTGACTTCTTTAGCTGGAGAAAAATGACACTAAGCTTAAGAAAAGATGAGTGATCAAACCCGCCCTTCACCTAACTCCATATGACATAAAATAAGTTACCAAAGGGAAGAATTTAATGTAATGGTTTGGAGGGATAGGGAAAAAAGAGTACCTAAATTACAAAGACCAAAAAAAAAAGTTCTTTCTTAAGTATGTTTTATCTCTAGAATAGGATAAAGAGATGAGAATTACGTTCAATAAATTTTCAAAGCACCTAAGGAAAAAAAAAAAAAAATCTCTGTTGAGTTGCCCTATGGTCTTGTGAAATCTGAGGTACGTTTGTTTGATACCTGGGGAATTGGAACAAACAGGGCTAGGAAACTGGGTTCTCCACGCTTATGAACTGTGCGTGGCTACCACTCACAGAGGGACACTGGCCCAGATCTTTAGCTGGCGTAAATCAGCATATCTGCCCCTTGACAAGCACAAGCTCTGGGTGACTATCAGAGACATGGCAGCACATCGGATAGGTGAAATGGAACAATCCCAGGAAATAAAGAATGAGTTGGTGGATGTGATAATGCTCATCTGCCACAGAACTACAGGAGCTAATCTCGATTTTATAATGATGCACTCTCCTGGTTTTAGTGGCCAGCCCAGCCCAAACCAGGACGTGCATATATATCTACAGGAATCCATATATACAGATCCCCATCTGATTTCTCTGGTTTTGCTGGGATTTTTATGGACAGGCTCAATTATCCAACCCTCCGTGATACCTGGCCCAGCTCACAGCCCCCAGATTGGCAAGAAATAAACCGTGAGCTATCTGAAACCTCGATTATCTGATGCCTTCTGCGACATCGAGATAATCGGGGTTGCTCAGCGCATCGATTCTCAGGATCTAACCTTCTCTTCTGCTGCTTGGACCTGCTATTGGGGTGTCTAGACCCTCTGTGGCTCTTTGTGGATTCCCACCATGAGCTACTAGTTCATCTGGCCACTGGGAGGAGCCATCCACTTGCTCCCTGTCCAGCTCAGGGCTCTGTACTGAATCTGGCACTGACTCAAAAGCACTGTTCTCCTCCTCCTCATCATCCTGTGAGGAGAAGACCGTGCTCTCAGAAATCTTTGCACTGTCGACGGAGGAGAAGCGGGTATGGCTGGAGAAGCGGTTGTTACTGTCGTAACAGGAGGTGCTGTAGCAAGAAGTGCTGTAGCAGGAGGTACTGTAGCAGGAAGTGCTGTAGCAAGAGGGGCTGTAGCAAGAGGTGTCACACGCATCGCATTCATTGTCACCATTGGGCCTGGAGCTCGACTCGCTCTCGCTTCCTGTCCTTGGGTGTTCCCCATCCAACAGCCCATCATTTAAGTCAGAGAGTTGCTCATCCAAGGTCCCAGGAGGCACCGTGCACTGGCTGAAGTTCTCTTCAGCCTCGTTTTCCAGAGGAGGCTCCGCTGCCACTGTCTCGCTCTCACTAACCACCTCCTTCTCCAACGCCTCCTTGACTGTGGACTCCTCATCGTTCTCCCCGCCGTTGCCACCATCTTGCTCTTCTTCCCCATCGCTGCTCATCTGTGCCGAGGGGAGGCTGTGGAGCAGGTTGTGGATCCGTATGTAGTGCGTGCGAGGGGTCTCTGGCTCACCGCAAGCTGAAGCTATGACCGTTTCAAGTTCAGACACGGGCAGGGAGCACGGCCTGTTTTTCCTCTTTGCTGTGGTCCTCAGTTGTAGCTTGTTGTCTTCCTCCTCCTGGGCTGAAGCCCCTTCTTCTTCCTGACTCTTCTCTAGGTCCTTGCCAGCATGCGCATCTGCACTCACCTCATCAATATCTAATGTTTCTACGCTGGTCAAGACTCCACCATCTGCCTGAGTACCAGAATTGACTTTGTTATTTTCCCTAACTTCAGTCTCAGGAGGAGACATGCAAGCCAGCAGAGCCAGCTGCTCCGTGAGGTCCGTAGCACTCAAAGAAGGCAGCACTTCTCCTGGGATGGATTCCAAGGGCTCAGGAACTGGCACCGCATCAACCTCCCCATCTCCTGCTAGCTCTTCATTTAAGCTGTTCTGGTTGACTTCCCCAGGTGGTTTGACAGCCCCTGGGCTATCGACACTGTTCACACCGTATCCATTTAGCTGTTCTGGAGCTGTACTTTCTGAGGTCACTGTGTTGATGCATGGAGGCTCACCGAGGCTTTCCTCCGTGGGGTTGTTCACAGGGCTTTCCTGGAGGTCAGCTGGCTCAGGATCTGCACTAATGGAGACCTCTTCATCATCTGTACGAGACAGGAAAAGAAATTACTTACTCCTTTAATGAGAAGTGTTGATGGAACCAGAAGCTTGGCTGTGGGGGCACAGGCACCCACAGCAATCTGAGAAAATTAAAAGCATAAATTACAGTGCAAAATGAGTGGGCAACTGAACAACTATCAAGAAACACCGTTTTTGGGGTTTTTTTTTTTGATAGGCAGTCTTTGTACAGTGGATTTAACAATCATGGGGCTTACTCATGGTGGTAATCTGTATGTAGCACCTTGCCTCCTTGCAACATAACCTGAAGGTAACACCTTCTTGAAACTCCTCTTTGAGCCAACAGGAACCAAAGGAATAACAGGGAAATGACAAGGAAGCCTTTCCTGAGCTTTTAATGACATTTTTCTCGTTAACACTGAAGCTGACAGAACTCCACAATGGAAAACTTAAAAAACTAATTTTCACACCCCTGAAAGGTGGAAACTTTTCCTCAAACACCTTTCAATGTGATCCTCATCTGTACCACCTCCTCCCAGATGCCAGACAACCTGGGCTCTCTCATGCCATCCAAATGGTCAAAAGACAGAAGTCAGGGCTTTCCAGCAAGGGGCAGGTCATGATTTCCAACCATGAATGCACCTGCTGTTGGCTTGGCAAAGAGTGCCTGAGAGGGCACCACCACAGAGGCAAAAAGTCCCTGAGGAATTCTATTTAGACTTTGACATGAAAACCAAGGTTTGAACTTACACCATCATGACAGTGACTTCCTCGTAACTGCAAGAGAACGTGAACCAAAACCAAACCAAAAGGGAGGGAAGGAGGGGAACACTGAACTATTTTTTTGTTTACTTTTTTTTATTAAAAATAATCAAAATGAGAAAGATTATAATCATATTTACTATTATATACTCCGTTTTTACTTATGAAGTGCTCAAATGCAGATGACTCTACAGATAAGAGCCCATGAAGCACTTCCCCAGGACAAGGGATAGAGCAGCCGATGAGGCTTGAGTTTTCTACCCTCTTCTCTCCCAGGGATGTGGCCAAATATTCAAAGCAGCCAAGAACAGGGGGATACAAGACACCAGTGGCCAAATATTAAAAGCAGCCAAGAACAGGGGGATACAAGACACCAGTGGCTCTAAGCTAAGGGGAAACAGGGAAGAAGTTGTGACTCACAATACATCCTGTGATGGGGGACTTTATTTTCCTTTGCTCATGGCTGCACCTAAAGTCCCAGAGCAGCCAGGAACAAACTCTGAGGAGAAAGAATGCAAAGCAAAAAAAAAAAAAAAAAAATCTAGGTAAATGATGGGTTAAGACTGAGAATTACCTGGATGGATGGAAGAAGTTATCTCAAATCGGAACTGCAGCTGGCCACTGACATGATCTGTAGGAAGCCTGCGACCCAGAGTGTAGCTTACAACCCTGTCCCTGAAAGAAAACAAACATTGTCACAATAGACTATAACCTACCCTATGTCTACTGTGCATAGATAAAGCTGCTGCGTCCTACAAAAATACAGAATGGCTTTCAAAGGCTATTTAACCCAGCCATGAGGGCATGTTGACTTGCATACAAGAGAACGAATGGCAGAGAAGGAGAGGACAATGTCTTCAATTACAATGGAAGAGCTGAGTCAGTGAGTCAGACAGGCTTCTGGTATACACGAGCACGTATGTATATATAGAGAGAGAACGGTGGGAATGGAACTTCTGCAATATGGGGATGAAAAATATTGACATGGGAAGCAAACAACTCCCACTTCAGCTATTGTAACAAGACTTCACTTCCCTGCTCATCTGACCGTATCTACCCTTCTGTAGGGTCTCGTATTTCTGTATCTCCTTCCCTTCACCTTCTGCATAAAATTCAGCTTTCCTGGCCTTTCTTTCCAAATCCTGTACAGGCCAGTCCCCGCTTACCACCTTCTTTTTTCAAACTGGCTGAACGACTGCTCTTCATCTCTTTCCACCCCTCTTACCTCTATGAAGCTGAAATACCAGGAGAACACCTTCCTGACAAGGTTGATCAATGACTCCATTCTGTCCTTGTGCAGGTCCCTCCCTTTGCCACACTTCATCCACCCCTCAGAACAGAATGAAACTATAGAAGAGATTAACTTCCCAGCTGCCCAAAATGAGGCTGAATCAATGTTTGCAAAGCATTTTTGTTGAGTGTAAAGGGTTCAACTGAATAGTAATATTTATACATCTTTTGAAGAAACATTATTTCACTTCCAGTTGGGCCCAGTATATTTGCTAGGGTAGTTTCACATGCATCAGAAACTCATAAAAATGAGACAATCTCAAGATTTGTGTATGATCTTCCTTAACTTGTGTGTATGTGTACCTCTCATCGAGCTTGCCCGAGATTTAAAAGCCACTATGGTATTAAAACTAAGCCAGATCTAGGTGCAGGTTGGAGGCCCTGCTCTTGCCAAAGTATATCCTTAGATATAGGGTGTTTACAACAGGGAAGTAAAATAGGAAGATACAATCAGAAGATGGTGAGAAATCTTCTCGTACAGAAGGAAGCCAATGGTATCAGTTATAGGGCTCTACCTTCCCCAAGCTGTTCTTTTCCATCTGGTTTCTAAGAAGCTACTCCATCTTCCCTACTTGAGAAACAGGGAGGTAGCTTAGTCCCTTCTGGGAGGTTCAGCTGTCAATATCTCAGCCAGTTTCTGGACCAGCTGTTCAAAACCACTTCCAACAAGCTCAGCTTCCTGCTGTTCTGCTGAATTGAGATCCAATTTTCAGAAACGCCTTCTTGGAAACTGCATTGCGTATGCTCTCCTCAGGAGATGACTCCTTCTTTCCCTGCTCCTCGAGGTCTGAACCTTAAAAGTTTAGAGCCAACTGTTTGGCTTTTTCCAAATACTATCCATCTTCCTCAAATTGCTATGTGTTACTTTGACAGCATATACCTTCCCAGGACTTTCATGCAAAGGGGAAGCAGGGCAGGGCTGGTGAGCTCAAGTGAACTGGTTATTCCTTGGCAGCAGGGTAGGGTCATAAAAGTTTAGTTACAACAAGCCACATATGGTTTTTTTTTTTTTAAATAATATTTCCACTGTCCAGAAATTAAAGGGAGAAGGAACAGATCTGGCATGATTTTAGCTCATAGGTAATTCCCTGGAACATGAAAAACAGCCTGTTGATAACATTAAAAGAATATTCAAATTGAAAATATTGCACTCTCCAGATTCGCAGCCATGATACCAAAACAGTTTTCTTTCTAAATGCCAGCTCTCACTTTTCAAAATGCAATGGGCAGAGTTACAGAGGGAACTCTTTCTCTGGCCCGTAGTCCTATAAATTCTAATTAAGACCAACATCATTCATCAGACAACTGTCAGTTTAATAACTCCCCTCAATATCATTATATCACTACAATGATATATCCCCGGGGACTTCAAAACAGCAGCATGCTCATTAAACAACAGAAAGCAGCATAAGCAGTGAATTTACCCTATGGCATGTCTCTCCAAGAGGCGTTGCACTGGCATAGAGAGTTTTCCCAGGAAGCGCTTGATGATCGGTCGGCTCTTTGCAAATTTGTCTTTAACTTCTATTTCCAGGACATCCGTGGGCAGGGAGACAAAGCTGAATTGCTGCAATAAAGGAAGAACACAAAACATGAAGCTAGTGGCCAGGCCACAACAACACACAGCTGCCAGTAGCTTCTTGACTTCTCGATGTCTCCGGACAGGAACCTGTGGATACAGGTACCACATAACATGGCAAAATCAGGCTTGGGGAATGCAGGAATTTCATTTATTCATAGAATCATAGAATTGTCTAGGTTGGAAGAGACCCTGGGGATCGTTGAGTCCAACCATCTCCCCTACTCTACAAAGTTCTCCCCTACACCATATCCCCCAACACCGCATCTAAACGTCCCTTAAACACATCCAGGGATGGTGACTCCACCCCCTCCCTGGGCAGCCTGTTCCAATGCCCGACCACTCTTTCTGTGAAAAATTCCTTCCTAATGTTCAGTCTAAACCTCCCCTGTTGGAGCTTGAAGCCATTCCCTCTTGTTCTGTCACTAATTACCTGTGAGAAGAGACCAGCACCAACCTCTCTACAGTGTCCTTTCACGTAGTTGTAGAGAGTGATGAGGTCTCCCCTCAGCCTCCTCTTCCTCAAACTAAACAGCCCCAGCTCCTTCAGCCGCTCCTCATACGATTTGTTTTCCAGCCCCCTCACCAGCTTCGTTGCCCTCCTCTGCACCCGCTCCAGCACCTCCAGATCTCTCTTGGATTGAGGTGCCCAAAACTGGACACAATACTGAGGTGTGGCCTCACCAGTGCTACCATTCATGTCATGGTAGCATCCAGACACTTTAAACAAGGCTTGCTGACAGTAAGGACACCTGCAGAAATGTAATGAACTCTGCCCTAGCAATGATTATAGATCTAAACATAATTGCACAGATCATGTTCATTCCTTTCCCCCTTCCCCTTGTTCTAAAAACTTTAAATAGCTGTGTGTAAGCAGAACTGAACTGCCAGTCTGGAGAGATGTTTAGTCAGCATTTCTCTCCAAGTGACATTAGTCCTCTTTGCGTTTGAGGGGCTGTTTCTGGTACCTCAGCTGTGAGGCACACCTCAGCTAGTGAGAAGTGAGGACCTGGAGAGGTGAAGAATACATGGTCAGAGTTTTCAGATACATCTTGAAATCTCTCCATCTCTCCCGCATCCCTGCCCCAGCTTAAAAAGATGTAAGTCCAAATAGACTGTTTATTTTTATTACTCTCCTAACCTGGTTCACAGCATGATCCTACAGAGAGCTAAACCAGAAGGTAAGCCATGGCACAGAACAAATCATACTGGGAAAGGCAGGAACGGCACCATCTAAACATACTGTTGTCACCAAGTGCTTTGAAACCCATGACCACCACTTCAGCTGATCTGGTTTTAAGACCAACTATTTTCATTTGTAATTCATGTTTCAATAAGCTTTTAGAGACTGTGTGCACGCAAACCTAAGGCAGGAACAAGGAGGGTGATAGTTTAGGTTGTAGGAGCAAGGAAGTCCATGTGTACAGCTTCCAAGCATGGGAACGTTGGGACGCCTGGAGATGTTGGGATCTCCCCATAGAAAAAGCAAAGCTCTATTTAGGAACAATACTGAAAAGCAAATGTATTAGGTAACTTGGCCTTGCGTGCTCCTAGATTGGCTAAATTCAGTAAAGACTGGGAGCTGGTGTCACAGGTCATTGAATCCTTTTTCCAAACACATCTGCTGCTACTAGAATATCATCAATCAAAAAAAGCACATCTCTGCTGGGGTGAGCCATCGTAGAAAAACTGTTAAGGCTGCTGTTCACCTAACTGAAAGGGCAGTATTGAACTGGAAGACAACTTCTGTAGTAAGTGGACGTCGAGATGGATGAAAGGATTTGCTAGCTTTCCTGCTGCCAAAACCAATCTTCACAACAGAACCACGCTCTGGGTTATGGAGGCCTGGAGTTAAGCCCCAAATTGCTTGCTCTATTGAATCATGATCTAATTTTCAAAAATGCTTAGTTCAAACAGCATCAGGCGAAAACAACACGAGTGGGATATTCTGCTAATCAGGCCTTGCAAAAATGCAAATAATCAGAGAAACACCATTCAAGTAGCAGCTAAAGCATTCTCTTTTTTTCTCATTTTCTTCTACATCTCTGCAACAGGTTACCAAAAAGGCTAACATAACAAAAGGGAGAACATTCATTCCATGTGCATATTGCAAGTTGCCTTATAAAAATACTTAGATACTTGTCAGCATTCATAAGGTCTCCCCTCAGCCTTCTCTTCTCCAGGCTGAAGAGCCCCAGCTCTCTCAGCCTTTCCTCATCAGGGAGATGCTCCAATCCCTCCATCATCTCTGTTGCCCTTCGCTGGACTCTCTCCAGCAGTTCCCTGTCCCTCTTGAACTGGGGAGCCCAGAACTGGACGCAGGATTCCAGCTGTGGCCCCACGCACACACACACAGGTGAAGACTGAACTGTTCATTCCAGTTGTGGCCCCACGCACACACACAGGTGAAGACTGAACTGTTCATAAAAGGAAAGTAAAACACAGGTTAATCTGCACCTTTCTGTGTTGGTAATATTTTGTCTTGTGGTACAACTCTGAGGTAAATCTAGAAAGTAACACGTAGGTTAATGATCTGCACCTTCCTGTGTTGCTAATACTTTGTCTTGTGGTACAACTCTGAGGTAAATCAGAATCTGCATGAATATTTGTTTCCATAAAATCAGGTGGAAGCAAGCTTGACAGTTCCTTCCTTGCACAAGAAACATGTTTTCCAGAGCAACTATCAGCACCTGAGTGGAGATCATAGTCGCATGGAGCACGGTGTGTTGCAATCAGCCAAAGGAAATGTCCTTTTTCCCTTGAACTGCAGCTCCTCTCAGATGTTCTGTTATGTAGAAACAGCAGCATCTTGGAAATACCAATCAAGCCTTTAAGGCCAGAAGTGTCCTCTGGCAGAGCTCAAAGGCTTTGCCATTTGGAAGCAACTGCAGTTTGAGATCAGAAGTGAACTCAGTGAAACGGGTTTGGAGACAGCTTGTAAAATAGTGAGGATTTTACATAATTCAGTTTTCCACCATCTAAGTACTCGCTCCTGCTGTTGCTCTCATCCAGTTTAATCCTAAATGAGCAAGATTTTTCTAAGGCAATGCCTGACTGTGGATTCCTCAGGCTCAGGCCATCCACACTGAAAAGCCCAAAGGAATCCTTGTTTGCAGAATACTTGGGCCTCTGACCCTTTGAAAAAAATGGATCCCAGGAAGAGACCTAAGTTTGAGAACTCAAAAACTTACAAACTCATTTTCAAAAATCACCAATCACTTTTGAAAACATGCAGGTTTTTGTGATATTTACAGACGGGAGTGTTGTCTTTGGGTGTGGAAGCAAATCACCATCAAATTCTAGTTTCCTCTCTCTTCCTTCACCTTCTTTCCTGACAAGTGCCAGCCCCTGTACCTCAGAATCACAGAAGGATCTGGGGTTGGAAGGGACCCCTGGAGATCATCTAGTCCAACCCCCTGCCAAAGCAGGGCCACCCAGATTTTCCTTCACCTTCTTTCCTGACAATTGCCAGCCCCTGTACCTCAGAATCACAGAGGGATCTGGGGTTGGAAGGGACCTCTGGAGATCATCTAGTCCAACCCCCTCCCAAAGCAGGTCCACCCAGAGCAGGTCCCACAGGAACATGTCCAGGCGGGTTTGGAATGTCTCCAGAGAAAGAGACTCCACCACCTCCCTGGGCAGCCTCTTCCAGGGCTCTGCCACCCTCAAAGGGAAGAAGTTCCTCCTCATTGTTGGATTCCACTAGATGGAACTTCTTATGCTCAAGTTTGTGCCCACTACCTGTCACTGGGCACCACTGAAAAAAGACTGGCCCCATCCTCCTGACACCCACCCTTGAAGTATTTATAGGGGTTGACCAGAGCTCCCCTCAGCCTTCTCTTCTCCAGACTAAAAAGACCCAAGTCCCTCAGCCTTTCCTCATCAGAGAGATGCTCCAGGCTCCTCATCATCTTTGTAGCCCTCTGCTGTCCCCTCTCCAGCAGTTCCCTGTCCTCAGCCACAAAGCATTGGCTGCATTTACACTGTGCAAAGCCTCAGCCTTTACCACCCCATCTATCTGGAAGAGAGAGGACCTTGTGCTTCGTGGTCACCTCCAATATAACTAACATAACTCAGTAGAAATACATTACTGCTAGAAGAAATCAAATCCTTTCCTTGCCTAATATTTGCTAATTTTCACACAGCAACGGCCAGTTTGTGAAAGTGACAGCGCAAGCTTCATATCCAAGTTAAAAAGGAAAAAAAAAAAAGAAAAAAGACATCGATTCTAAATTCTGCAGTACCCTGGGGTTCATACTCAGTGATGTTGTGATTAATAATTCATCCCAAGGAGGGGAGAGAAAAGAAGGCTATAAGATCACACCAGAGATAAAAATTGAAGCTCATCAGGATGAGGGAAGTTTGATGTGGCTTCTTCCACATGCCCGCGAATGACACTGCTGATAACCAGAAGTGTAGCATTTTAAGAATAAGTTTGCTGCCATTTTTTGATGTTACTATTACAATTTTTACTCTAAGGCTTCCGTTATTTGGAACCTTGCTTACGATCACAACTCTTAGTGTTACTAAATTAATTTAGAAATTAAACTTTGACATTAAAAAGAAGTGTAACGTACATGGGTGCAGAGAAAAACAAGAACAAAAACTTCAATACAACGAGCCCAAAAATACTATTTTTTAAAAGACTTCTGATTATTCTGGCAGTCACTTCTTGAAGCCAGATTCTTTTATGTTTTGCAGCTAGCATTGGCTACCGTGCATCTTCTTACACAGGCTAAGCCAGCAATCTTTAAGTTGTGTGTTTTCACTGGGGCCACCACTCATTTTGTGGGCTTGTTCATTGGTTGGGTTTTTTTCCCCATGAAAATTTAAGTTCCTGAAATCCCAACTGTAAAAGAATCCCAACTGAAAAGAATCCCAACTGTTTGTGCAAACTCTGCAAGACTGGTCAAGAACTTCACAGAACCTGCTGGAATCCAAAGACACTAAAGTTCACACTGAGACTAACTGGAGAAGGATGTACTGAA